GATATGTCACTGGAAGACTTGTGCACCACAGTGAAGGCGCTCAACATAGTTAACATGTAAGCAAGGAAAATAGCCCATATTTAGTGACGCTTCTAGATACTCCAACATGATTTTTACTTCATCTTTGCTAGCCATGAATTTTTTTTTTTTTTTTTTTTTTGGATTTTTGCTGGAGTCTATAACCTTTTTTCTTCGATTCATAAAAACAATTAATTTAGTGTGTGTTAATCTGTGTTTTGGGTCTAGTATGATGGCTTAGACATATGTAGCTACTTTTGCCACACAAAAAAAAGAAGAAAAAAAAAGACATGTAGCTACCACCTAGAGTGAATTATGAAAGGGAATGAGTTGCTCTTCTTAGACGATATGAGTAGTTGTCCACCAAATCAAATTTGCCTAGACATACTTTGTTGATCCATTATATTGTTACAAATATCAGTTCATGTGTGTTAAGTTTAGCTGTTGATTGTGTGTTAAGAAACTACCATGGCAATGTAATTTTAAAGACAAAACCTCCATGTTATTCCTTTTATGAAATTTATAGTATTCGATGAATTCATATATCTGCTCAAAGGGTCGATTATCAAATTTATGGCATTCGATGGCCTTATAGGTTCACGACTACTCCGATCAGAAAAAAAAATTAAGTCTTGATCAAACATTCCTAATATATTAAAAGAGAAAACACTTTCAAAGTAACCTTTAGTTGATGTGTTATTAACAATAATGTCATTCTGATGTGTCATCATTAGAGAGCTTCTTAGGTTAGTTATGAAATAAGAGTTAGTTTACTAGAATAATTACAAACATTGTCATTCATATTTTTGGTTAGAGAATCAAATATGTATATTAAATTAATCATATATATAATTATTAATAAAAAAAATATCATTCTATTTCCTTAATTGACAACTACGAAAATTAGTAAATAAGGAAAATATTAGATTCAATTTAATTCTATCATAATAATTTCTTTTAAAATCATCATATATCTCCTATTATCTTTATTTACATTTATTTTATAAAATAAATTGAATCACAATATAAATAATTAATAAAGAAAATCTAATTTTTTTTTCTGTATAGGCTATGATTTGAATTTTTTAAAAATAAAATAATATAAATTGTTTAGTAAATAACCTCATTTAGTAGGTATCGAAAAGATAAATTAATTATTATTTTTATTCCATTTAATATGGTTTTTAATTAAATTCTATAATCAAATAGATTAAAAAGGTTAATTTTCTAAATATTTTATTTTGATTAAAATTTTGAATATTACTCTATCTGTTTCAACTTTCAATATACAGTTAATTCAATTTTTGTTTTTTTTTGACAATTTGGATTATGCAAATTGTTTTCTTATTAGTTTGATTGTTTTGAAATTATAATAAAGTATGTTTTAGTTTTGAAAAAAAAGAAAAAAAAAATTAGATCTAATCCGTTTACACTCAACTAAAACTTCATATCTTATAAAATACATGTATAATTCTTTTAAAGAATTTTTTTTCTGTTTTTTTTTCTTTAAACTATCTTATTATTATATTGTAGTCATTTGATTTTTATATATCTAACTTAAATCTTTCATATTTAATCTATGACTACGATCAAGACTTGAATTTATTTATCTTTTTAAAAAATAGGTTAAAATACTTAATTTTCATACTATAAATGAATAAAGAAGACAATAATGTAACAAAGATCAAATTCGTGGCATAAAATTTGAGATATTTTAATAAACATTTTTTAGTAAAAATACAAATCGACAAACCATCACCCCGTGCAGGGCGCGGGTCAAACCCTAGTATCTTATATATAATAGGAGAGTGCTCTCTCCTCTAAGGCTATCCACATCAGCAAAAAGTTTATTAAATTATATTTAAGAAATTTAATACATGACTATTCATATTTCTTTACATTTAATCCAAAGAAGTACATAAAATAAATTAAGAAAAAATACACAAGAATTAATTAAGAAATATAAAGTATGTAATAACTGATATCAAAATTTAACAGAAATTGTAGTATCAATTAGAGAAAGAAAATGAAATGTTTTTTTTAAATAATATATAGTTACCTTATTAATCAAATTTTATATAGAGGATTTATTTTTTAGAGGATCAAAAATATAGACATTGATCAAAGATATATGGAAAACGACAAAAATACACCTCAAAAGGTGATAGAGCCGGTGGTGGTTGAGTGTGGTTAAGAGGCAGACATAGGCCCATGATGTTAATAAGAACTTTGTCGAGAAGTTCTAAATTCACTAAACAACCGTTTCTGATATTAGAAAAATAATAACTATTCATGAACATACTAACAAATCATAGAAAGAGTTGTCGAATCTTAAGAAGAATTATAACTAAAATATTTAAAATAAACATAACGGCAATATCTATTACAAAACTTCAGTAATATAAAAAAACAAAGAAACAAAATATCAACATATTTTTAAAAATATATAAACAATGATTAACGGAAAACAAAACCCCGCGCTTGCGCGGGGGTATAATCCCTAGTATTTGAAATTACTGTTTGGAATAAAACACGCTTCAATGTAGCACATTCAATTCACTAATTAATGGTATCATTTTGCATTAACAATCACTGATTAGATATGACGTCAGTTATGGTGTATCACTTGATTAATAAGTAATGAATTTTGAATGCAATTAAGTGGCTTTATTATGATTTCGGTACCATGGTTTCCCCAACCGATCATTTAGAATAATGTAATACTAATTGTAGATATACTTTTCAAATAAAAATTTGGTTGATCCAACAAATTTGCCCCCACATTGTCTAGGGACAGTCCTCGAGTGCACATGGTTTAACATACGACCAACCTTTCCGGCAGCAATCAGGAATTGAATCTCACTACACCATTTCTTATTAGTATCTTTTATTTATCAATTCATGTTGGAAAATTATCAATGACTCAACTAATCTAGCCTTACATTCGTTTGTTTTATCATCCAAACAAAGTATGTATCAAGTTTCAGAATTTAGTAGTAGGATAATTCGGGATAATTAATCATTGAGGCACACACACGATCGAGAACAATAAATGAAAACAAAAACAGTGTTATTTCATTGTACAATCATGTGATCATATGATAATAGCCTCTTGTAGTCGTTTTAGTTCACATATATCTACAAAGATCAAACTAAAGTGATAAAAGAACACATTAGATTGGTCTTTTAGCAGATACAGATCAATGGAATGGTTTTCTCTTCTTCCATAGGCTTCATTGATTGTGAAGTAAACATGCCGACCAGAACTAGTTTGTAACTATTTATTTTTATTTAAGGTCGGTATACGTATATCATATTAATCCACGGTCGTCGACAAAGGGTTTCAAATATAGATAAGGTGTAAAAATATATGTATTCACAATTGTCATATAGTACGTATGTAATTTGTTTGTATTCACATATATAAAAATCATTACTAACCGTTCAACATTTTAGAGTTTATCTAGAGTAGAATCAGCATGTTGCATGCCATTATAGGCCGTTCCACATTCAAGACTTTCTAATTAACTATGTACGTCGTTGAACTAGCCCATCGAGTTAAAACCATGTTTTTTAATCTTAATTTGTCAACAATAGTTTATTTTTCATTTTAACATATGATAAACTCTCATAAATTTCAAGTTTGGTGAGTTGACATCGGATAGAGAGTGAGTTCATCACTCAAACGCTTATATAAAGTTATAAATAGTGGGCTGGTGAATAGTTTTTTGGATGAAAATTCCTTAGAGAGTGGCTGAAAAGTGGAAAGCAATATTGTGAATTTGTATCCACACCTTACCTTATACACAATTTTCACATTTGATAATTCTGACTATTCATATATATAACTAAAATTCGTTGAACCTTGATGCATCTAGGTACAAATACAATGACACGCGGATGAATGCGTTAGTGAAAAGTGAAACCATTGTTCCATGTCGATAGTATATATCACTTTCCCATGGGCTATGGACACAGACTCAGACTCAGACGCAGACGTTTGGAAAAGAGCGATTGCGATCACTCCCTCTGAAGGTGGGGCTTGACACACGTGACGTCGACCGTGTAAACATTAACCAGCCGCGTATGGATAGCGACTTTTCTATTTAAAAAGCTTATATTATAAGTACGTGAATAATTTACTCCTAAACCTAGACCACGAAACGACAGAGAAACTACATGCTTTGACTCCTACCCTCCAGTTATTAACTAATTATATAATTTTCCAACATTTACCAAAAAAATTAATGCTTTTCTCTCTACATATACGTAATTACATGTCCAATGATATTTTAAATACTACATATACTACATATCCTTTCATACTGCTTATTTTCACATATACTCATGATTAGTTGATGATATGAGCTAACTTATTTTACATCTTTTATATACTCCCATTTATAGTTTTTACTGCCGTGTTTGTTTAACCATTCATACTTCTTTTTTTGGTCGGATACCATTTCATACTCAATTTGAATATTTCTAATGGTTGCACCAAACACACCATAAATTTCCACCTTGTATCTCTATTTTGATAAACCTCACCAATGTAAAATATAAATTACCTAATAAACAAATTGGAGATGAAAAATAAAACATTTACAAGTTATAAACAGAAAAAAAGGATCAAGACAAAAAGACAAAATCACCCAAAAAAAAAAAAATCGACCGTTTTTCTATAAAAAGGATAAGCCAGAGGAGGCAAAGACAACGCTTTTTGTCTCATCTCAAACTTTCTCACTCACCCCATCCATCATAACTTCATAATTCCTATCCACTCTTTTCTTGTAACTCCCAAACAATTTCTTAACTTCGATCTCCAAACCGGCAATATACATTCGTGGGTTCTTCTTTCTTCTCCATATATCCTCCTTCCTTGTTATCCTCCCAAACAAAACCGTGATCACTCTTCTTTTATACAATCCAAATTTTAGATTCAAATTCTTCAAGGCCTCTGTTTATTTTCTTGTTTAAAAAAAATGGTGTGTTTGGTTTCTCGCACTGGTCGTCAATTCCAAAGATACAATAAGGGACGTCGTCTAGTCGTCGGGTATGTAGATAGATCTGAACATATTATAAACTTGCACCATTGGTTTTTGTGTGATCAAGTTTCTAAATTATGAAATCTTGGGGAAAATTGTAGGTGTATTCCATATAGACTCAAGATTTCTAGCGATGGTACAATTAGCGACGAATTTGAAGTTTTGGTTATCTCATCACAGAAGGGTCACGCTCTAATGTTCCCAAAGGTACTAACTTTTACCCCAAACAAGAACAAAACCAAAACCTAACTTTTGGTTTAAGACTTTATTGTATTAACCATTTGCTCTATAATTGAATTAATAATGTTTAGGGTGGTTGGGAGCTAGATGAATCTGTAGAAGAAGCTGCTTCAAGAGAATCTTTGGAAGAAGCTGGAGTTATTGGAAACGTTGAGGTAAAATTTGAAGCTAATCATATGATTTTGTTTTGGGTTTATATCACTTAATTAAATCGATCATCCTAAAATAAATTATTATTTTTTGGTATTTGAGCAGAGACAACTTGGAAAATGGGATTTCTTGAGCAAAAGCAGAGGAACAATCTATGAAGGACTAATGTTCCCAATGCTTGTGACAGAAGAGCTTGAGCTTTGGCCTGAACAACATCTTCGTCGAAGAATGTGGATGAAAGTAGATGAAGCAAGAGAAGCTTGTAGAGATTGGTGGATGAAAGAAGCTTTGGATGTTTTGGTCAACAGGCTTTCTTCATCGCCATCAATGAAACATATGGAAGAAGAAAAGACCATTCCATTGATCTCCATCTGCTGAAAAAGCCAATCTGATGTGCTCTTGATCACTTTTAGTTTGATCTTTGTAAATAACGTCTTACGCAAGAGCAGCGAAAAGATTGTAGGTTTTTTAGGTTCGCCGAGCAAGAAACCATCATGTGAACTCGACCAATAGAAACCTCTGGATTAGTTTTTGATTTCTGGTTACAATGTTTGTACAACTGCTTAGGATGGGAGGAAGAAGATAAAAGCAAAGAGTGCAAACAAAAAATTGTACAATTATGTTTCTTCTCTTTGTATCTCTCCCCATCATCCTATCTGATTTGAAAATGAATATATGATATAAATAAAATTAATAATAATATATAAAAAGTCATTTTTCATAAGAAAACTCTCCGAATTATATAGCGATACAACTTATTTTAATTTTTTTTTGTTTAACCAAACATATTAATGTCCGAGAGTTACTATAATTACAATATTATGTTTAAAAGAGTAAAAACAGAATGATTATGATAATCCCTAATATATTAAAAGAGAAAACACTATCAAAATAACCTTTATGTCATGTATTATTAACAAGAATGTCATTGCTTATGTGTCATCATTAGGTTCACTCTCAAGACAATTTTTAATTAAGGCAAAGATTACTAGACAATTTACAACTTATGCCATTGTATTAATTTGGTTAGAGAATAGTTATATCAATGGTTTATACATACTAGGAGAGAACCCGCGCAATGCGCGGGTTTATTAAACCAAATATTTTTAATTTAATTATTCAGAACATTAGATTCGAATATATCATTTGTTTTTTACTCGAATATATTAGATTCTGTAAGTTTTGCATTTTGTTTTTTTTCATATAGTTTTAAAATTTAGTTGTTATTTACGTGAAATCTTATATAGACTCATAGTGAATAGTTTCATATGTTTTTTGTTCTTTTATACAATAATTTATCGACTGGAGTTGAGTTCTTCTAATTTTCCTTATACTAACAATCATTATAGATTGATTATTATCCTACAGACTCATAGATAATAATAATTGCAATCCTTTTTAAAAGGAAATGAAATGAGCTAATTAGCCAGTAAGCCCATTTAAAGCTACCATGGAAACGAAGAGGTCCGATAAATAATCAAGCCCATCAAAACGAACAGCATTACACATAATTTTGATTTAGATTTTTTTTTTTTAATACGAAAACGACGTCGTTTTGGTGTAAGACGAAAAAAAAAAGATAAAGCGCAAAACGACGTCGTTTTGGTGTAAGACGAAAAAAAAAAAAAAATAAAGCCAAAACGACGTCGTTTTGGTGTTAGGCGAAAAAAAAAAAAAAAAAAAGAGTGCCACGTGTCAAAGGCTGGAGATTGTCCAAGCCTTATTAGTTATGTAGATTTTAGCATTTAATCCTAAATATATTATCCTTCTTTCCTTATCTTATCAAATTAATTATTTTCTTAATTACTACATTTTTCTCTCATTTTTTAGTTGGAGTAAATTTTATAAAAATAGATAAACTATCACACTAACCATATATTAAAAAATGTACATTTTTTTTACACAAATTGTAATTTGAAATTTTAAAAACAGATATCAATCACTAAAATGATGAAAATAACAAATATATCATAAAAGTCCCACATTAAAAATGAAGATATGTGATAGTTCATAAGACTATTATAAAAGAAAGAACCAAAATGATAATAAACCATTAAACATGGAAGTTTAATTTAATAAGTATCCAAACTTATCAATATATTTGGTTTCATATGGTTTTTTAATAAAACTACATAACTATACCAAATAAATTTTATCTTATTATAAATATTTCAGAGTGAAGAACTTGAAAATATTTATATCAAAATATTAAAATATTTTAAATAGTTTAACTTGGTTAAAAAGTTAAAATATTTAAAATATTTTTATAAAAAATTTGAATATTATAAAATTTGAACTTATCTTATAAAATATATGAAGTGTATTTTTTTTAAGAATAATATTTTATTTTTCAGTTTTATGTTCTTTAAACGATCTTATCATGTTATAATCATTTGAATTTTATATATTTTGATTAATTCTATCATAATTAATCTACAGTCCAGATTTTAATTTGTTTACTTTTTTAAAAATGGTTTAATATGCTTAATTTCTACATTATAAACGAAACCAAAACCAAACAATTCTGTCGAGAAAAAATAAGATAATTAAATAAGCATTTTTTGATAAAAATACAAATACATTTTTTTAAATTAAATACATATGCTGATGTAAAAAAAATAAAATAAAAAATACTAATTCAAATATCTCACTCCGTGCTGGGCAGGATCAAACTCTAACTCTAGTAATAGGCTATTTGGCAAAACCGACAGCTATCTAACAATTATAATTATTAAAATTGCTATTTTTAGTTAAAATAGAGATATACAGAGTAATCAATCAGTAATACTCCTGTATTAGGTTAGGACGACGGTGGTGACATGAAGAACATGATTGGTGACATCATTGATGATGGTGATGGAATACACGTGGAGAGACTTGATGAATCATCCATTGAGATTTGGCTTTCTTTTGCTTTATCTTTTGGAAAACTTTCGTTCACATTTGTGTAGCTAGAGTAACCTGATTTTTTCAACTACAGTACTTTATGGTGTCACCAACCAATAATATTGATTAGTATCTCTCACCTAATTTTATGAAAATGGAAAAAGACAATAAAATCAAGCACATCAGTTGTGGAAATACTTGGATGTTCCACGTCTTAACATGTCATCTGCTTTGTCGTTATAAAGAAAAGAAAAAGTTCATCCACTGTGAATGATCAACTTCTAGAGTCTAGACATACGAAATTGTTTAATTTTTCTTTAATACTGTACGTATTATTTGATTATTGGAATAAACGAAAATTCGACCGTGTGGGCCCATTACGTACCTTATTTCAGCATCCAGTCAGATGCAAAACAACTCGGTTCGGTGAAATATTCATCAATCGAACCCTTTAGTAGGTCGATAAATGACAATTGTTGAACAACCCTGAAAATCCAACAACAAACCCAAACCTATTATAAGCCTACTAAAGCGCAAGAAAGTGCTTCCCAGCCCATTATAAGCCCAGAGTAGAAGCACACGTGTATCGAAAGATATTCAATCTAAATGGAACCAACCAAGCTAAACTGAAAACGAAACTGAAATATCTCAAGTTGACGATTTCAATCTCACATTTACTAAACTACAACCACGACCAAACGTCCAAACCTAAATCAAATATGTAATGTGGCACACCAAGATGGACTATTCCAACTGTCGTTTCCTTGACCGAATACTTTTTTTCTTGGATAAACAAAAATAATTAAATTATTTAGACAAAAATGAAACAACGTATCGCCGACTGAGCGGATCGAACCCTCGACCACGGGATTAAAAGTCACGCGCTCTATCGCCGACTGAGGGGATTGTTTATGTTAATACGTCTACAGCATTCATTTTCCAAACTAGTGTTTCAACATTTTAACTGTTTGAAGAAATAGAATTGTGTTATAATCACGATCGCGTTGTATTTAAATACATCGAAGAAATACTTATGTCTCACAACAAGCATATTATACATATACACAGATCGAGGACTAAACCTCATTTTATTTTATTTTTTGTCAACAGGATTAAACCTCGTTTTATTACATAATAAAGAAACAACTCTTAGCGGCTCATGCCGCCTTGGTAGACTGGAGCACCCATCGCCACACCTTGGTTCTGTTGCTTCTGTACGTTCGCGGCCCATCCTAAATTCCACATTAAATAAATGTTAATGTTTGAGATTAACTACAATAAACAAATGAAATCTAGACAAAAGAAAAGGTTTAGAGAAATAAATACCAAGAGTCATATCATAGCCACGGTACTTGAGCTCACGGTATTGTTGGGTCAGAGCACATAACTCGCAGAAGAAATGTTTAAGGCAATCTCCACAATCACTACCTTCAAGATTGTATTGAGCTCTCATCTTTCCACGATAGAAACACGAGTAGATACATCCACAAGCCGTTACTGCACTTATCAATGCGTATAGTGCTCCAGCCGTACCACACGCTGAAATTTTTCAAACCGCAATTATTTATCGCTATTAAATTCTATAAATTTCTCTCTTTCGTTGTATAGTGTAAGTAAACTTACTGGTGGTTCCTTGATCTACGATCTCAGCTACTTGACCAAATGTAATACATGGACACCAACATGTGATACAACCTGTCCATCCATTTATAAAAGATAAATCATAAAATGAAATATTAGTAGTTTTTATAATCTGATAAAGTATGAATTGTAGATTTATAACAAGCATAAAAGTAGTTATTTGTATCTTATTACATATATATATACGTACAGTTATATATAGGAACAGAGAAAAATTATAAACAACAATGGAGTTTAATCATTACAGTTTTTGCAGTCAGAGAAGCAATCACAGAAGCCTGTGGACCATTGTCCTTCAGCTTGACCACGAAGGTGTTGAGCTTCCATCGGTAGAGAGAGAGAGAGAGAGAGAGAGAGTAACTTTTAAACAGAAAAATATGTTTGATGACTTGATCAAAAGGAATAATGGGTTGTATTTATAAGGATCATAAATCCACTATTTATTTAACTAGTCGAAACCTCAACTAATTTAAATCATAAAAATAGTTTCTTTTGTTTAACTTGAAAAGGTAGCCATTTAAAAAAGAAAAGTATCCATCGCCATTACGTACTTAATATTTCCTTGACTTTTACCAATTCTTTTTAATTAGGTTTTGTTTTTAAGGATTATATTTTGTAATGGATAACTGGGTTTCATCATTTTTTCCGAGAAACATTTCTATTTGTATATTTGTTATGAACTTCCGCTAAACTGATCATTACGTTTTTATAAAATATTTTACAGTACATGGAGTTTGAATGATAATTATGACTCAGAGGTGAACTTCTTCTAATCCAGTTACTGTTTTTTTTTTTAATTGAAATACTTGAAGTCTTTCATTTAAAAAGTCAATTACATGATGAGAAAAAGCATAAAAAAATCAAGAGTGATTAAAATAAGTATTAAATATATTCAAGTAAACAAAAACTAAGTCAAGTCGACGGTGTCAATTTTATCTCTATTTACAATCACGACTAATCATCTAGAAGATGTCTAATGGCACGCAAGTGACTATTCCCATTGTCACATCCTTGACCGAACATTCTTTTGAAAAAGATCTTTGGTTTGATTTTCATATAGTTCTTATTTCCAGGTCCCCGCCAATCATTTTGCAAATTAGTGTTATAATTTTTCGATAATATCACTAGAATAGAAAACAATCATAGATATAGAGATTCAGACCTTCGAGCAGCAAATCAAACTATTTAACTACAACCACTGACTGTTTTCTTAATTAGTACTCATTTTCTATGTACTATATACATATCCAATTATCCATACACTAGAGAAACTATCTCTACAACCAGTACTTCGAGTAGCAAATCAAACTATTTAACTACAACCACTGATTCATTTTCTATCCTGATATCCACACACTAGAGAAACTATTATAGTTATACTGCTTACTATATCAAACACAGTAGCGGAAAGGGCAAAAACCAACACAAACACGACTCTCATTATTTTGAAGACAACACAACAATATTAACAAAATAATATTCAGACGAGAAGAAAGAAAAAATAAGTTGTATAATTTATCTCATCACCGCCATCCACCACCGGGGCACCCATTGCAACGCCGACATTTTGACGTTCAACGTTTCCGTGCCATCCTAACAAGTTAGTTGTTTTATTAAAACAGACGCGTTTTTTTGGTTCAAGAAAACGAAATAAATACATGACAAATTTATTGAATATTGAAGCTCTGGTTATGGATTAATAAAGTAATAAAATAATACCGAGGGGACATCAAAACCGCGGTTCTTGAGCTCGCGATAGGCTTGGGTCAAAGCACAAAGCTCACAAAAGAAATGTTTGAGACAATCTCCACAATCGCTACCCTTAAGATTGTATTGTTTTCTCAATTTGGTTCGGTAAAAACACGAGTAAAGGCTTCCACATCCCGTTAACATTGCTATTAGCATGTAGACCGCACCGCTCGTACCGCATGCTGAAATTAATTAGCGGTTATGTCCACACACAAGAATCGGTTAAATCTTCTAACCTAACCTTTTTTGGTTTGTTTCGGTTAAAAATTGATATGATTAGAAACTTACAAGTGGAACCACGGTCTACGATCTCTGCAATTTGACCAAAGGTAACGCAAGGACACAAACATGTTATACAGCCTGCAACATTTAAACCTTCATTCATTATCAGTTATTTTTATTTTCAAAATATATCAAATATGGTCTCAAATCGGTAGATTTGTAATCAATAAAATTAATAAATATAGCATAAAACTGGTAAATCAACGTGAAGTTGGGTTCATGTAATATATATCGTGCATGCTGATTATTTGTTTTTATTTTAAATTTGTGAATATCATCTATAGAATTTATAATTAATTGAAAAATGAAAAGAAGAATCTATACAGTTGGAGCAATCGGAAAAGCAATCGCAGAAACCGGTGGACCATTCGCCGTTAGCTTGAGGTTTGCCGGCATGCATGGCTTCAACTTTCATAACTCACTCTGTTACTTATTCACACCCAACAAAAAGGAAATAAGATCAAAGTAATTTGAGAGATCTGTATATTGTAAAACATGTCAAGCTAGTGACGTTATTTACAAAGAGGACATCATTTCAGTTTCAGTATAAGAACAAAAGAAGGGTTACACGTTGCCTTCTCTGTGTTTGAAGCTTCTACACATGTTAAAGAAACGTTTCAATGATTTATGTATTATATGGTTTGGGTATATGTTTGTAATTCAGAGCATATACATATATATGGGAAAATTCTTTTTTTGATACATTAATCCCTTCATGAACGTAATTCTAAGTCTGTATTATTCCAAAGTTCGACGGTGTCGGTTTGCTCATCTTTAACATTTATCTTTTTTAAAGTTAATGGATTTGCAGTAGACAATTGCATAATGATGATAAAGTTTTGCCATATATAAGGCTGAAGAGTGACAAAAATCTGAAATCAGTAGAAGCCGCCATATAGATGTAAGATTTTTTTAATATTTGATAATATTTCAACTTGTTTCTTGTTTTGATAATACTTTTCAAAATACAACTGCAAGGCTGATGGCATTTCAAATTAACTTTCAATCCACCAGCTACCGCTATAAGTTTAAAGGTCCACCTAGAGTTTGGACCACGGTATTTTTATGACTCAAATGTGTGTATTTTGTCAGTTCAAATTACTATTTGTTATAAAGAAAGTAAAGGCGTATTATTTGAATCAAATTAAAAGAAAATTCTTATATTTTTCCCAAAGTTTAACTAATTTATCATGTACTTTTTGCAATGACCAAACATTTATTAAACATATATGTCGAACACAATCCCTTATATTATTTTTGAGACAACAATATTATAAAAGAAAATTCAGACGAGAAGAAAACAAAAGATCAAAGTAATGCACACACACATATATATATATATAATTTATCTCGTCATGCCTCCCTCTACAACCGGAGCACCCGTCGCAACGCCGCCGCTTTGACGTCCAACGTTTCCGTGCCATCCTAACAATTCAGTTGAGAAAAACTACTAAATATCGAAGCTTTAGTTAAAGATGAAAAAAAGGATTAAAAAATAAAACATACCGAGGGAGACATCGAAACCACGGTGGTTGAGCTCGCGATAGGCTTGTGTTAAAGCACAAACCTCACAAAAGAAATGCAAGAGGCAATCTTCACAATCATCACCCTTAAGATTGTATTGTTTTCTAATTTTTGTTCGGTAAAAGCATGAGTAAAAGCATGCACATCCCGTGACGCACGCTATTAACGTGTATAGCGCACCCGCCGTACCGCATGCTGAAATCAATTCTCGGTTAAATATATTCGAACCGAAATCGATTTTGTGGTTTGGACTATTTCGGTTGACGATTTAATATGATAAGAAGAAACTTACAAGTGGAACCTCGGTCTACAATCTCAGCAACTTCACCAAAGGTAACGCAAGGGCACCAAAATGTCATACAACCTACAAAGGTTAAACGCTCAAATCAGTATTTTTATTTTATTTTCAGATCCAAAAGTCATCGATAGCTTCGTAATCTAAAATTTTGATAAATATATAGCATAATAGTCTTAAGTTGTGTGAGATACTATGGATCGTGTATATTGTGCTGATTGTTAACTATGAGAATATCTATATAGTTTCATAATTTATTGAAAATTGAAAAGAATAACTCACAGTTGGGGACATCCTCGAAGCAATCACATAAACCGGTGGACCATTCGCCGTCGTCTTGATGTTTGCCGGCATGCATGCCTTCAACTTCCATCACTCACTCTGTTACTTCTTCGCACCTAACAAATAGAGATAAGATTAATTAAAACAACTTGATTTCTTAAGAGAGTTGGTTATATAGTGCCTACTAGTCCTTCTTTTTGTCTTTATCATTATTGAACATGGACCATATATTATATGCTAGGCGGCTAGCTCATTGGCCACTTTGTTTTCTAATCATGTCTATCAGACTTTAATAACAACGTGTTGACTGGAATAACGTTGGTGAAGTCGTCTTTAGCATTCAGGCAATATAAAGGTTCCAAACTTCCAATTCGTTATGACGTGGAAATTAAAATTACAGTGCAATTTCATAATGATCGTATAATTTTGTGTATGTATTACTAGACATATGAACAAGACCAAGAAGGCAACATGCCAAAATAAAAAATCAGTAAGAGCCATTTATAAATGTAAGATGATTTTTTTTTAAACACTAATATATATTTCAACTTGCTTTTTGTTTTGATGATAAGACTTTAGTAGTGTAAGGTTGAATACTGTTTGTTATGATAAGACTTCTGTAGTTTTGATGATAAGATCTATATCTTGAGCAGCCAGATTATCATTATGTTGTCATAACCAAATTTATGAATTTCCCAAAGTTCACTTGGACCTACCGCCACTGCTATGAATTTAAAGGCCCAATTAAGTTGAGGATCACAGGTCCAGAGTAGTCAGATCTGTATATGACTGCTATGAGTTGATGCAGATGGACTTAATAGGCCTAATACGAGTCTTTCAGGCTTTAATGTATTTTAGTAATGACTCGTGGAATTTATTTTGGTTATACAGTATATCTTTTTCTTGATGATTTACGACTTTGGTTAAACAAAGATTCACATAAGTCACAGCAACATAAATGCTTTATGTTTTATAGACCAAACGTCAAGATTTTAAATTTGACGCAACTCATGAAAATCCGCAGAATCAAATTCGGCTAGTGGGAGAACAAATAAGTTACTGGACTAAACTGAAATCGATGATACTAATACAAGAACCTACCGAACCACTAGATGACTAGATAACAGTGTATTGTAAAGAGATACGCTAACTAATGGCAATACAAAGCTTTGTACTGCTACTCTAAGACCAACTATGTACTATTCTCTTACTAGCATCTTCTTGCCACCATTCTATCATCTTATTGAATAGTTACACAAAAGAGGTACAAATGTTGACAGTACAATACGACCAATTAGAACAAATCAGATATAATATATAATATTTAAGTCGGCTACCTCCCCACTATATGGTATACACACTCTTTTTCCAAAAGTGGCATTTTAAGTGGACTTATTCTCTGAAGAAGCATAGTGTGAATCGCTCCTTATAACGATCGTGGCTTCATTTTCATTCATTCATATAATTTAGCATTTAAATAAAACGGGAGGTTTTATACATATAGTTCCAACAGTTTTACTGTACTTTTAATTTATATTGTCGGATCGATAATCCCGTCTCCCGTGCCCGTGGGATTATACAAAGCAAGAATACAAATTCTAATTCGAGTCGTTTGTCTCTTACTCAACACAAAAATGAGTAAAATCTAAAAAGGCATCCACTAAAAAAGAAATCAACTTCAGACTATAATATCAAATAAACTGAAGCACACTGAGAAAATTAATCGAAATGTTAATAATTACGCGTGCGGATATTTTCTGGTTTTCTCCTCGGATAATTTCTTTTTATATGGCAGAAAGAATGAGGGTAGGCGAATCTCCACATAGTCCATCTGTAGTTTGATATGTCCCATCATCAAAATTTATCAACCGTACGATTCTTTCATGGTCGAGATTGCAACTGGTTATGCCCATCCAAAATCTCACTTGCGACCCATGATCAACTTCAATAGAGAAACACTGACATGTTTATAACTTTGTTTGGAAATCATGATAGTCTAATATGTAAGAGATAACGATAAACAAAAAAGAAGATCTTGTAACATAAATATCCCAAAAGAATGTAGTTTCTTTTAAGGTACGGCTGAGAGTTGAAACTACCAAGCCTTCTTGTACACACCAACTATAATAGATAAAAGAGAGAATACACCAGACAAAATGATTAGTGGCAATAATGTGATTATGATGAGCATTGTATGGGCAAACATGTCTCATCTCTCCATTTCTCAATGCCTACATAAACCCTCACACCTCTCATGTGAACTCCCAAAACCATAAAATAAAAAACAGAGTTTAACATAACATCTTACAAAAATGGGAAGGCAGCTCTACACGACGACGTTTCTTCACTTAGTCACCATACTCTTCGTTTTCCGGACAATCTCAGCCGTCCGTTTCCCTCCGGAACCAACAACAACCGACGACCTAGATTTCATCCGCACGAGCTGCAACGCAACGCTCTACCCAGACGTGTGTTACACGTCGTTATCTGGCTACGCCTCCACCGTCGAAGATAATCCGGCGAGGCTTGCGAAACTCGCCATCGGCGTTTCTCTGTCCCGCGCAAAACACACGGCGTCTTACCTCTCCAAACTCTCACGCGCCGCCGCTTCTGCTTCTCCCGCCGTCCACGACTGCGTTTCGAACGTGGGAGACGCGGTGGAGCAGATGCGTGGCTCCCTAAGGCAGCTCCGAGAGATGAACCACCGTCGTCCCGGAGCTCCACCGTTTATGTTTCAGATGAGTAACGTGCAGACGTGGATGAGCGCGGCGTTGACGGACGAGGAGACGTGTACAGATGGGATCACGGAGGAGATGGAAGACGGAGATACGAAGACAGCCGTTTGCGAGAAAGTCGCCGACGTCAAGAGGTTCACGAGTAATGCGCTTGCTCTCGTTAACACATACGCCAATAATGAAGCCTAGCACTAGGCCTTTATATGAAGTTATAAATACTTGTATATAACTATAAGTCTATAATATATATATGATGAGAATGTGTTTAGTTTTGTTCCTATGTATCGGAGGCTCTGAAATCGAGTTTACTGAGTTGGAAATCCGAGTGCGTGTGTTGCATTTAAGCTAAGTTTGATTGTATTAATTAGTAGATGTCTTGTATAAGTGTGGAGATAAATTATACTCGATGGTTTTGATGGATAGTGAGGTTTTGATGAATTTGGGAGATGATATGGATAAATTTGGACATATCTCTCAGGAATTGGAACCCGTGAGATGATTGAAACATCTGACTTTATGGCTGAGTTGACCCTTAAATTTGTCTATTTGTGGCCCATTCAAAATCTTTTACGAGAAACAAGGGACTTGTCCTTTTTGTTCACGGAGGTGCCAATGTACAATTTCACACTATGCCCATCAATAGAAACCAATTGTAAATGGTGACTTACTTTTTTATCATGGACGGCTCTGTAGACAACTTTACAGTAGACGCAATACACTAATTCGTGATGAATGATGTTTTGTTTGCACTAACACAGGTCGACGGCTTATGATTTTATTTGCACCACTTAGATATTTTCAAGTGTGCTTTTGATTTTACTTAAAGCAGTGAGAAAAATAAATTAAAGAAGCACTTTGTTCAAGAGACAACTAATTTTACACAATACACTAGTAACAAGGATCAACACAAAACACCGCACACAGAAAAATCTAAAAAGTTTACAACCAAATTGTTGTTAAAGGAATCAAACTAATTCTTCTAAAGCCAAAGCACTCTCTGAGAGAGATTCCTTTTGTTTTTTTAACTAATTAAGGCTTTTGAGCTGTAGCATAAACCCCAAAATGAATTCAACACCCAACCGGCGCAACCGCCGTCGTTTTCACCTTCGGCGGTCTCCCACGTCCTCTACGCTCCACGTTTGGCTGAGCTGCCGGTTCCGGCGCCGGTGTAGCAACCGTCTCTGAATCTACTCTTGGTTTCTTCGGTGGTCGTCCACGTGGTCTTCCGGATCCGCTGGCGATCTTCTCCTTGGGCTGAACCGGCGGCTCTGATGGATCTCTCGACTTCGGTGGACGACCGCGAGATCTAGGCGGATCTGCGGAGACAGCAGCAGCAACGACGGTCTCAGCTACGCCGGATTCCGCCTGAGTTTTCGGCTTCGGAGGACGGCCGCGACCACGCTTAGGCGGCGGAGCATTTGATTGTGAACCTGGTTTCATGTAATTGTTTTTCACCATGATAAGCTGACCGGCGCTCTTCATCTTGTTGAGATGGTAGCCAAGCAGGGTCGAGTGAGACGGCGGCAAGGTTTGCTGAGTCGACTCGATGTGCTTTGCGATCGTCGTTTTGTTTGAGCCGTTCTTATCGTTAAGGGATTCGATTGCTTCGATTATCATCTAAACGCAAAAGGAATTATAATCAATCCATTGTAAAACGCGAAAGCTAACAGCAAAATTTAGAATCTATTTTTCGGAGTTCTCATGGATTTTACCTGAGGATAAGGCGGGAGAGAAAACGCCGGCTGTTCCTGAATCTGAGATTCCGATGAATGCTGATCCGCCGCTGAGGCATTGGGAAGATCGGACGCCATGAGAAGCCTGAATTGCTGTAGATAGAGGGAGAGAGCAGAGGAAGTGTGGCTTGTGTTTGTGAGAGGTGAAGGAAGGAATCAGTTGTGCTCAAGATCAAATAAGAAAATCGAGTTTATTAAGTCGCAAAGTTGATCGGACGGTCAGGGTTTTCGAATATACGAAGGGATCGAACGGCTGTGACGCTATAATATCTCGCTCCTCCAGGATTACTGACGTGGACAAAAGGAAATTACTTATGAGGCCCTGACCCTTTAACGAAATGACGTAGTGATCCTGATTTTTGAAATTTATTTACAGCTGAGTCCAATAATTTGATGTTTAGGCCAGTTTCGAAATTCCACGTGGCTCGGTCGAAATGGATAGTACCACAGAAAACGACTCACACGTCATACCAAGCGTTAACTTTTCGCAAATCGCATTCAAATACAAAAACCTTGAGAAGAGGAAGTATCAGTCTACTACCTTTGATTAAATGCATGCAAACAGAAGGGCTTGTTTCTTTAATATACCAAAGAGAAAAGAAAACAATTTTACATCTATATATATTAACCCAGTCTTTCTCTACAGAATTTGCAAGATCAGAAAAAATGAAGATGAAGTGATTCTATGTAACTCACAAATAGTAGGAATCATTTGAGACAACATAAAGCATTTGAGATAAATACGAAGATGGTGATCACAAGAGACCAGTACCGCCGAAGGGGTTGCTGTTATGTTGCTCATGAGCACTTGTGTTTACCGGGAATTCCTCAAAACCGGTGGTGTTGTGTGGTTGTGAAACCGGCACTACCGGAAATTCTCCAAAACTGGTGGTGATTTGGGGTTGTGAAACCGTGACTGCCGGCAATTCCCCAAAACCGGTGTTGTGTGGTGGTAGTGAAACAGGGACTTCCGGAAATTCCCCAAAACCGGTGGTGTGTGGGGGTTGTGAAACCGGCACTACCGGAAATTCCCCAAAACCGTTGGTGTGTGGTGGTAGTGAAACAGGGGCCGGAAATTCCCCAAAACCGGAGGTGTGTGGGGGTTGTGAAACCGTGACTGCCGGAAATTCCCCAAAACCGGTGGTGTGTGGGGGTTGTGAAACAGGGACCACCGGAAATCCCCCAAAACCGGTGGTGTTTGGGGGCTGTGAAACAGGGACTACCGGAAATTCTCCAAAGTCACCAAAAGGATTTGCAGCGTTAAGTGCAGCTTCAGCGTTTGGTGCAAGCTGAAGCTGCTGTTGATGCTGAAAGGTTGGCTCGTAGGAACCGAATGGGTTGCTTGCGTCTGAAGGTGGTGGAACGCTGTTGGAAAATGCAAACGGGTCTTGGACTTCAAACGGATTGGGAGCTGGAGTGCCGTAAGAAGGCTGTTGCGCGGCTCCACTGTCATATAGGCTGTTCAGAGTGAGCGAGTCTAAGCCACCCGCCTTTCATTTGTTACAGCCAAAAGTGTTGACAAGTTAGGAAGCCACAAATCCAATTTAACGGCACTAATCCACAAATGAAAGCCACAAAGCCAAAAGTATCAATAACACAAGAATACATCTTACCAATTGCCTCTCTGTGGCTGCAGATATATCATTGCTAGGTGTTGTGACCAAGGCAACCTCCCATCCTGACGGATCTAAATCTATTGCTTGACCGAAACCAAAAGAATCAGCTGGAAACAGAAACAGAGTCAGAAATGCGATTGAAAAACAAACAGGAAAGGCAAACTTAGCGTTTCACTAAGTAATAAGCTCACCATCAGTAGAAACTAAGGCCAAAGCAAGTGCATTTTGGTCCAGGATTTCCAATGGATCAGGTGCATCATTGTTCAGACCCTGAACAACAAGGAGGGAATCAGACATGGATGAATGACAAGGACAGAAAAGTCGAAAAGTCAAAATCATAGTCTAAAATCATATTTCACCAAAAGATCATCTGTATCAATGAAATTCTGAGGAGTTTCTACTGAAGCAGGAGGATGGGTAGAAGGTTGTGACTCTTCAGAGGGAATAACAGTAATATCGAAAGGCAATGATAGTTCATGTTCTTCATGCGAAGGTTCAAAATCTTCAGAAGAAATCCCATCATCCGGCCTATAGGTCAGAAGCTGTATGTATGGAGACAAAGTGTTTAGAAAACAAATTACACAAGAAAATGATGGTATCTGTAGGACCAAAGATATGATAATATAGTCATACCAGTGGCCCAGATGTGACGTCCACCATTTGAGGTGCGTCTCTCATATATTCCTCCATAGTTGTAAGAAAAGATTGTGGAGGCTTGAGAAAACAAAAAATACAGTTATATCAATAACAAAACATAACGTACCTGCCATTACAAATTCTAATGTAGCAAATGAGTTCTGATAAGATACCTCTCTTAAAACAGGAAACTGGAAATTCCTTGCAAGTTCTAATCCTTTGCATACTTCATAGAAATCAGAAAGGTTGCGAGCCTGCATTGGTAGACTAACTCTCGTTAAGTGATATCTAAATGGACGCGACAAAGAACATAACCCAACAGCTTTACCTGAAGACCCGCACGCTTGTATATATCAAGGGCCTTGATGGCCTCGTGTCTTGGCATTTCAAAGAACTGCAATATACATGCATATGTGAAACAGGGAAAAAGGCAAATAACACATGGAGGGAGAGAGTATCTCTGAGGGGAAAAGAAAAAATTTGGCCTACCTTTTCTACAAGATTGATGATTCCTTCATTGATGGCACAATACACTTTAAAGCTCTCCTTCAACACCTGAATTACAATTTTCAGAAAATATCTCAAAACTCAATTCAAGCTGTCCTTTCCGGATACAAAATATTGGACACGGTACTAAAAGCTAGGGATATATGCAAACGTGTAAGTTATGTGCCCGGACTTAGTTTAACGTACCAGAGCGAGAGCATACTGTATGATACGATTGTGGCTAGCAGCACCTCCTGGCTGAAAAAGTCAAAAGAGAAAAATCAGCTCATTTGACAGAGAAGGCTGTTTCAAGTTTCAACACAATGTCACAATGGAAAACAATATGGGGTTTGCAGAAACATAGCGCAACGACTCGGAAAATGACATTAAAGAAGCACCTTACAACAAATGAGACGATGCAGAAGCTGCTGTAAAGCTGGTAACTGTTCCAAGAGTTTTTCACCATCTAAATCCCTTGTTTTGCCATACCCCTGGCCATCAATTTCCAAAATCAAATCCCATCAGAGAAAGAAAAAGGGGTACACAAGGGCCACAAAACCAAGTAAAAACGAAAAAAAATGGTACCCTCTCCTCCCCTGGGGAAAGCTTTGGAAGACGTTCAGCCTCAATGTCATATTTCAGAACTTTGAAGCATTGAAGCCGTTCCTCGAGAAATAATGCATAAGCTCGTACCCACGCTGAACAATCCCAGGCTGTGAGAGGCATAAAAGCAAATCTTTTGCTTTAACTCTTTGTCGAAACATGAAGGAACATCATTTGCTCTAAACACATAGGCACATGGTCATAGGACTCACCGATTGGGCTTGAGTCGTCCTTGAAATTAGAAAGTTGCAAGAAGCGTCCTCTCTGCGAAAAATTCGATAGCTCTTCTCTAAATGTTGGATCACCCTCCCTCAGAAGCCGGTGTAAAACAAGCAGTGCCTTTAATGCAACCTGTTGAAGCAGAATACACATAAAAACAAGTAATTCAATAGCAAGCACGAAGGAATGAGGAGCTTAACCAAAACTATCCATAGACAAACAGATTCTGATCCTTAACCCTCACAACATTTGATAATCAAAATTTTCAAAACGACTTCAACTCCTACACATAATCATAATCACTACAATCGTTCTCTTCCTAGATGAAACATTTCCCCTGGAACTTCAGAACTCAGATCATAGGGTGAATCAATACCGTCCAATTTCTGGTTTTGTGCAATCGCCGGGAGAGAGTGTGAATGCAGTAAGCAACATCTGCTCGAGGCCGAGTTGCTGATGTTGCGACGAAAATTTCTGTAGCAATTCTCCGAGAAGAGAAACAAAACAGTAACAAATAAGATCTAAGAATTCCCGAGAATGAACAAAAAAGCAAGTGAAAAAGCAATCACTTACTCCTGAGATGCCGATCTTTGGGAGGACACTCGACATGGTTAGTAGCTTTGACTATGGCGATATCTATATCCTGAAAATCATGTCAATACTCGAATCTATGAGAGATTTACTTCCGGTGATTAGAGAAGATGTATAATGCAGATTCGATCAAAATGCTGAGAAAAATGCGAATACGAATTGGAGAAAGGCGCGTACGGCGTAATCGCTGTTGACTCGGACTAGGCCGACTTTGGTGGTGTCTTTCAGGGCTCCATAAGCTCGTCGCCATGACTGAAGCGTTGCCATCGGAAACCACGCGATGGACTTTCAGATCTCTCTGGGATCTTCTAAGATGTTTTTTCCCGAGAAAACCTCTGAGAAAAATTTAATGTGTACAGAGATTTAGAAGAAAGTCGGAAGAGCAGGAGCAAAAAGAGGAGAAAGATTGGATTCGTGACATTCGTCACATTCTTATATCTGTTCCCTTTTTCGACTAAATTTGCTTCAGAAATTTTATTTTTGTTTCAGAAATAGTAAAAATTGGATTTTATCATCTTTCTGATTTACCATCTTCTCTTCTGATTCATTATTACAGTTTCATTTCTACAATCTTGTTTGGTTCTTTTGCTAAACTTATCGGTGAATGAAATGATAAAAAATGACTTTCAATTAATTTAGACGCAAAGGTCACTGGAAAGATCAGACGAAGACATGCATTGACTCAACTTCCAATCGAATCTCGATCTCCAGCTCCCTATTCTTATATGGCCAACATCTCATCATTCACAAAGCCATGTGTTATGTGTACGTAACCATAACTTCTTATACATTTTATAAAATTGGATTAGTTGTGGCTTTAATTAACCTTGTTTTTTTATGCTAACAGTGTAGGTTTTAACCAAACCAAAATAACATTTTCAAAACGTAGGCAACAAAATCTTATCATGAGCACTAAAAAAACTCATCGAATGTTTCTTCTTCGATATATATTTGTTTATCATAAAACGGTGATAAGTTGTGGCTTTAACCTTCTTCTTCAGATGTTTCTAAAAAAATACAAGTAGTATATTGTGGCATTTCATTGGATTTTAAATATTAATTCACTATAACATTTTTATTGACTCAGTTGTTGTACTATTCATCAAGCATATATACATCATGATCAATACAGAAAAAAATTGTGAATTGTGGGGTTGTCTTTTTTCAAAAGCAAAGGTTTCCTTTATGGGTCCTTTTTTCTACCAACTAGGTTATGGAAAAGCATTACCACCAATTCTTGTGGGGCACAGAAACATGGCAGACGCAGCTCTGGTTACGTTTACACTCCCATTGACATTTTCTATCAGTTGAATATTCTTCGTTTTATACTTTTATAGTAAGTCGTACGATAAGATTAGCAAGTGGATGTAGTTGTCAACATATTCTCCTTCAACGTTAACTCATTGGGTTGTTATATGATCATCATACAGGATTCATACGGTTGTTTGAAATGGATGACTCGTAATGAATGCAACTTTACCGAATCATCGCAAGTGTGTCTATCACTTGTGTCACCCATACATATTATCTTCTTACGCTTTACTTAGCTTGATGGGTAGATTCTTTCTTTGCGATGGATCGAGCCCATTATTCAGTAGTATATAGTCGGCCAGGTGTCAAGGACTAGTCCAATGATTCATGCTGCAACAAACAAGCCCATCAAAGAAAGTCTTTTGATCCCAACTTTGCTAGTTTTGCACTTCATGTGACAATGTCCATAGTAGTTACTAGTAGAGGGTCAAAGTGAACAGATAATTGGGTTGATCCCAACAAACCAACCCATAAAACCAGTTATCTGTTGCAATTCATGTCACAACAACCAGTGATACTGCAAAAGACTTTTAGCTTGTGCTGGGAAACATATTTTAAACTATTTTTAGTCGAGGGCCTTTTAATTCATTCAGCACTAAGTTTAATGATCGTTAAGGATGAAACCCACGTTAGAAGAAAGGCAGTACATATATGTACTTTCATATAGGATTAATTATACGTTGTTCCCATGTACTTGAATGGATAAGTGGAATAAAAACAAGGACATCTCGTTCTTATTCATCACGTGATCAGCCGCCAACGATAGCAAAATGTTATTTTTTCTCCCCTTTTAAGTGTACGTACGTGAATCGAGAAGATAATATTGTCTTCTTTTCTATGAAGATGACATAAGGTAATCAAATGTTCTACAAAATATGTAGAGGAAAGAAATCGTAAACAAATTATATCCTGAATTTGCCACTTCACACAAGTTGCCGCTGTAGTTCTTAAATATGACACCACGATGTAAATGTGATATTCACATGGGCAGAGTTTGGTTGAAGTCAGGAGAGATTCACAACTCTGGGATATTATTAACAAAGAAGCAAAGAAATCGAAGCAAGAGTGAATGTGGTATTCGATGTAAGGACACGTGCGTATGGGCTCACACCATTTATGTTTGTATATTCTCCCACCCCAAGGACATCGCACGACACTTTGTGTCAGTCCATTTCCAGAATTGCCGGCTCTCTATATTTTACTCTCTTCTTAAACCTTTTAAAATGTTAGTATTAGACTATTAGGCCTTGAATGGAATTAACCCATTAATAAAGAGTAAGTTGATGCTAGAAGTAATTAACTGTAATTTTGTTGGTAATTAATCCGTTATTTGTTTTTTGCAGTAGAAATATATTAATGCTTGCTCTTTATTTAGAGAACACGCAAGTTTTTTAAATGTGTAGCACAAAAGTATACAGACCCGTAAGGCCGTAACGGTGTATGGTGATACTTTCGGGTGAGCTGAGTACGAACACCACGTGGATGGACCACAATTAGCCGTACGCTTCACTTACCAGATCGACGATAGTAACAGAAAAACGCTAACTTTCATGCTTCGACGGACATGTATGCAATGTCCAGGCTGTCTCTTTAGCTTTCTTCAACCACGCGATTTAATTGGTATATACTCCTCACGCGCCCACTCACAAAGCTTATTTATGGTCTGATTAACAAATAATCCAAAGCTTCTTCTGGATAATCACATACCCTTAATTCCATCAACGAACGCATGTCAAATCTTTTGTTTTTGTTCGTTTTGGGTTTTCGGTACTTATCCCTCTTACACCTAATTCAATCTTTTAAACAAAGATATGTATACATTTTTGTTCCCAGTTAACAACTTCTTATACATGTAACTATATGTTAATCAATTGAAGAAAGTAGAAAAGGAAGGAGTGTTTATAATTTTGATATTCATGCAATTTTTAGGTGCCCCTAACAGCTATGAGTGGTCTCCTTGCTACCTATCAGTTTATGGCAGTTCACGTTATTTGGTCCATCTCTTTTGTGTTAAATGTATTTGTGCATACATGTATCGCGTATCGTGGCTTTTATCTCTCTCTCTGGAAAAAGAAATTTTCATGACATATGATATGACACCATACTCATTTACTGCCTCATGCTATTATACAAGCACTTGATTGCATTTCAGAATGTATTTGGCCGTTTTCCCATTTTCAACGCATATATTGTATATCAAGTTTTCTTTTTTGTAACCAGATTTTATTGTATAACAAGTTAACCAAAGAAAAACAAAATTACAACCAAAATATAAGCCGGCGAAATAAATTTAACGAAGACAGTTTGAAGGTGTTACTACAGATATATATAATCGCCAGAGCTTATTATAAATATAGAAGCAACCGCAATCTTACTGTTAATTTAAAAAAGAAGACGCTGAAATCTCGAGTTCTTGGAGACTAAGATATATAAAAGGAGTACATAAGTGTGAATCGTGAGAGAATTAAAGATCACTGATTTACTATATTCTCTCAGGATCATTATTGCGGAACTTAGTGGAGGTAGGGTTTAGTGCAGAACTTTATATAAAAAAAGACGATAAGCAATCACTAAAATAAGAAATTTTAGATATTTTTGTTGCTAAAAATGTAGATATCACTATAATAACATGTACCTTTTTAAAATTTAGATATTTTGTAAAATGTACCTATAATGAGTCTGTTTTCCAGAGATTTTATTTTCTTACAATTTTTGCTAAGTATGTTTTTTCACAAACAATCAATGTTGTTTTTAAAAAGTATTTTAGTATTATTTGAAGGAGTGTCTTTTTCTATTGTCAACAATGGAGTGAGTGTCTTTATAAAATCTACGTCTAAAAAAAGTTCCATACTTTCATTATGCATCTGATAGATATATGTGAAGTGGCTAAAAAACCCACAAAAAAATATTGAAATTTGAGAAAATGACGTAGCAGAACAACTCGAACATGTAACCATGGAAATGAGATGGTCCATTCGACGGCCGTCAACGGTGGGAATGGTCTCAGGACCTACGAATAAAAGACACGACACGTGTAAGAATCACATGGATAGCGGGGACCACTGTCCCAAATGGGGTACGGTTAGTTCGCGAAAGCAATTCGCGTCGATGACCTGTGGGGCCCGTTTACACGTGGAGTCATCATATGCTATCAGTTCTGATTTTCCGGAATTAATTCGAATAGAAGAAAAACATTAATCGGGGATTGCAGTTACTACTTTTATTTTGCCATTTTGGTAAAATAAAACCTGAGAGTTGTAGAATTTTGAAAACCAAATATTCTGGAATGTAGAATTTGAAAAAGAAAAGAAAATGATTTTCATTTTAAACAGAACTTTGTATCACAGGATTTGAGAGTTTGATGATTCCCATGCAGGGAGCTAAAACTAAATTTGCTTAATATCAGTAAGACAGTAACAATATTTATTCTGTTTACATTTCTACCCCCTTCCTCGAAACATGGCTACATTATTACAAAGTAAGCTAAGGCATTAAAACAGTATGATTATCTCAGTTCAGCTTTTAAGTTTTAACTGGGATTTTAATTATGCTTTTTGGCAAGCTTATTCGCTTCTCCATCAAATTATAAATTCTTCAATATTTAAAATCACATTATAGGTTAATTCTTTTTAGTCTCAGATAAATGGATAATAATAACAACGTTTTTTTCAGATCTTTACAAATAACACAAACACTGATCGTTTTCTTCTTCAAAAACTACTATGTTGTTAACACATTAAAGTTAGATGAGTAGATATTTGATTTTGATTATTATATTTTCTAGTGGGTTATATGTTGTTTTACTTTTCGACAAGAGAGCTCAATTTGTTTCAATAACAAAAAATTGATTAAACATAAATATAGTAATATATTGACACTTTTTAGAATAATAGAGGATCAAAAGATACATTCATACGAAACCAACACACCAAACTATTGAAAAAGCGACAGAAAGTAATTGCAACACTAGTTGTGTGACAATCAAAGTTGTAGACCATATTAAAAAAAACTCTAAAGTTTTAACTTCCACCCGCTTATATGACAATGATTTAAAAATCTGTATAGCAATTATACGATATATGCAAAACATTATAGAAAAAATATAATTACGAAATTTGGTAATGTTTTTTTTCAGCCTTATCGCTTTGAGCTGTAGATGTTGCTGTTAGCCCTCTGATCCATGATTCATCGGACATCGAGCCCCATCACGAGCCTCCTTTTTTCTTTTCCCTTCTCATAATTTGTTTTTATTTTTGGCTAACCTCTCTCTCTCTCTTTCTTTTTCTCTCACAATTTCTTTCTTGTGATAATAGAAGTGGGAGCAGTAGTAGTACTAGTACCATAGCATCACCCAATCCCCAACATAAAGATTCTCTCACCCTCAAACAAAGCAAACTCAGATCCGACATTGAAGGAATTTTTTTCTTTTTCAGATCGATCTGAGAAAACCAAAAACCATCATGAAGAGAGACCACCAACAACATCTTGGCAAGACTATGAAGGAAGAAGAAGATGGTAACGGCATGGACGAGCTTTTGGCCGTGCTTGGTTACAAGGTGAGGTCGTCGGAAATGGCGGAGGTTGCTCAGAAGCTTGAGCAGCTTGAAGTGATGATGTCTAATGTTCAGGAAGACGATCTCTCTCAGCTCGCCACCGAGACCGTACACTACAATCCATCGGAGATTTACACGTGGCTCGATTCCATGCTCTCCGACCTCAATCCTCCGTCTTCTGCCACCGACTACGACCTCAAAGCTATTCCCGGCGACGCGATTTTGAATCAGTTCTCGATCGATTCGTCTTCCTCCTCGAACCAAGGCGGAGATACGAACACCAACAAGCGGTTAAAATGCTCTAGCGCTGATTCCATGGCTGTTTCTTCATCCACGGCGGCGGCGACGATGAACGGCGTCGCGGAGACGACGCTGACCACCGCAACGGCTGAGTCAACTCGAGCTTTAGTCCTGGTGGACTCGCAGGAGAACGGCGTGCGTCTCGTCCACTCGCTTTTGGCCTGCGCTGAAGCCGTACAGAAGGAGAATCTAGCTATGGCGGAAGCTCTGGTGAAGCAAATCGGATTCTTAGCTGTGTCTCAGGTCGGAGCGATGAGAAAAGTCGCTACGTATTTCGCAGAAGCTCTCGCGCGGCGGATCTACCGTCTCCGTCCGACGCAGAGCCCGATCGACCACTCTCTCTCCGATACTCTCCAGATGCACTTCTACGAGACCTGTCCTTACCTCAAATTCGCACACTTCACGGCGAATCAAGCCATCCTCGAAGCTTTCCAAGGTAAGCAAAGGGTCCACGTCATCGATTTCTCCATGAACCAAGGTCTTCAATGGCCGGCGCTTATGCAAGCCCTCGCGCTTCGACCTGGTGGTCCTCCGATTTTCCGGCTTACCGGAATCGGTCCTCCGGCACCGGATAACTTCGATTACCTCCATGAAGTTGGTTGTAAATTGGCTCATTTAGCGGAGGCGATTCACGTAGAGTTCGAGTACAGAGGATTCGTCGCCAATACGTTAGCCGATCTCGACGCGTCGATGCTGGAGCTTAGACCGAGCGAGATCGAATCGGTTGCGGTTAACTCTGTTTTCGAGCTACACAAGCTCCTGGGACAACCAGGCGCGATCGAGAAAGTCCTTGGAGTGGTGAATCAGATTAAACCGGAGATTTTCACCGTGGTGGAACAAGAATCGAACCACAACAGTCCGGTTTTCTTAGACCGGTTTACCGAGTCTCTCCATTATTACTCGACGTTGTTTGACTCTTTGGAAGCAGTGCCTAGTAGCCAAGACAAGGTTATGTCGGAGGTTTACTTGGGGAAACAGATCTGCAACGTTGTGGCTTGCGATGGGCCTGACCGGGTTGAACGTCACGAGACGCTGAGTCAGTGGAGAAACCGGTTCGGTTTTTCAGGGTTTTCGCCTGCACATATCGGTTCGAATGCGTTCAAGCAAGCGAGCATGCTATTGGCTCTGTTCAACGGCAGCGAAGGTTATCGGGTGGAGGAAAGCGACGGTTGTCTGATGTTGGGTTGGCACACTCGGCCGCTCATAGCCACTTCGGCTTGGAAGCTCTCCACCAATCAGATGGTGTCACACTGAGTCGACCGGTTATTGCAGATGTTTCTACCGAACCGAACCGAGCTGAATTACAAAACCTTTTCTCCCTTTGTCACATCTTTTAAAATCCTATTAGATCAGTTATCTGATCTCGCTTTCGAGAGATGGACCGGTTTTTGTTTGTTTCACGTGACATTGAGGGTAAATTGGATAGGTAGATATATAATTTTGCAGTTACCAAGTACTATTGATTTAGTTGGTGGAAATAAAATTACGTTGAATGTCATCGTCTATAAATTCATTTTTATGAGCCTGTCTATAATAACGAGCTAATACTCATAAACGTTTTTATTGTTCTTATAAATTAATGTTGTAGTCGTTTTCAATTGTTATTTTTCTAAAGCAAAAGAAGCCAAAGAAACTAAAATTGTCTATCTTTTTGTTAATAATATATTTTGTTCGACTTTAAGTGCACATAAAAGTCAGATGTTCTTTATAAAAAACCCGAAATGTAGATGTTCTTTGTAAAATCAAGAATAAATTTGGTTTAGGAACTCTTATAAGAAATTACAAAAACATTCGACAAAGGTGATGGTACACTTCACTCGTGACTTTGATATATAGTTGACTGAATGTGACATTTGATCTTCTATCTTTATGATTTGTGACATTGGATCTTTTACATTTGAACTTGTACACTCTTCTGTTATAAATTTTACATATGGACACAAAAATAGTTCCAGTGTCACATTGACTATAAACCTTACATTTGTTACCCAACATAACTGGGCCAAATAAGCGCTAGTAGGCCTCAATCAACAGTCCATTACTTTAATTCAGAAAACAAACAAATACACTCTGTTATATGGCTGATCGTCTAATACTATCAAACATGATGGTCATGGTAATGATACACGTTAACAAAATTGAATCAGAAAACTAGAATCGAAAAGACTGATGAGACCATAAGTCCATAACAAATAAATTCATCAAAGACAGATGATAGACATAAACATACAAGGTCGCCATTATTATGATCATAATATGTACAAAGGAAGAGATGGATGATAAGGAACGTAAGAGACAGACACAAAAGATAACACACATGCAAGATATATATAAGATACGATAACGATGAAGATAGAGGGTATTTAAGCTTTGTTCTGGCCCTTGAGGATGTGATCATCCATGTCAGCCACTAAGCTTTTGAGAAGCTTCATGTAGCTGATGGGTTCAGGGGAGTCTTGGTTGCGCTTCTCCCATATCAGAGTGAATTTGCAGACGCAACCTTCCCTCGACTTGGGAATGAATTGGAAGATGATGTCAAACACCTTGTAAAGCTCCATGGCATGACCTTCCATCCCTCTGGACGTCACCGTCATCTTCTCGTCGTCTATCTCTCTCTTCTCCTTGTACACCTCTGGCTTCCCATCTTCATTCATTTAAACACACAAAATCTTTAGCTAGCCGCGTTAGATGATCATCAGTCCTCATATTACCACCATACACTAGTTAAGAAAGAGAGAGAGGAAAGTAAGGACTGAGAGTGTAGTTCCAGGATTTGATGGCGCCGTGGGAGTCCCAGTCACCGTCGTGGATGTTGACACCTTGGATGTGGTGGCCGACGGCATCGGGGAAGAGGTGGTTTTCGTTCCTCCACCTCTTGTAGTGTTTTTCGGCCAAACCTTTCAGGGGCACCTCCGCCACGTATGTTCCTGACATGGCCATTTCTTGTTTGATTGTTTTCTTTTGAGTTGTGTCAAAGTGTTTGTGTGAGAACGTAAGTCTCAACTAAGTAATCAAACAAAGACCAAAGTCATTGTGAGATGTGGAGCTCCGAGATTCTCCTTACAGATGAAGAAGTCGTAGCTAGGCAATGACATGGTGAATTGGATTGTTGATGAGGAAAGATGGTCGGCGAAAGAAAAAGGGTTGGAACGTTTTCTATTTATAGCTGCACCCTGTTGAAGGTTGTCTACATACCCTCCAAAGAGGGATCAAGCCATTCGTAGTTCATCATGAGAGTGTTATGGGAGAGTTCGGTTGTCACGGGAGAGCTCGTCGGTGAGGTGACGTGCCTAGCTGAACTCTTAGAGAATTCGGATATGAGATCGTCGCAGGAGGGCTCGTCGGTGAGATCGTCGCGGGAGAGCTCGTCGGTGAGATCGTCGCGGGAGAGCTCGTCGGTGAGGTGAGAGCTTGACGTTAAGGTCGTCACTGGAGAACTCGGATATGAGATCGTCGCGGAAGTGCTTGTCGATGAGATCGTCGCGGGAGAACTCGTCGGTGAGATCATCGCGGGAGAGCTCATCGGTGAGGTGACATGCCTAACTGAGTTCTTAGAGAGCTTGATGTTAAAGTCATCACTGGAGAACTCGGATGTGAGATCGTCGCGGGAGAGCTCGTCGGTGAGATCGTCGCGGGAGAGCTCGTCGGTGAGGTGACGTGACGTGCTGAGCTCTTGGAGAGCTTGACGTTGAGGTCGTCACTCGAGAACTCGGATGTAAGATCGTCGCGGGAGAGCTCGTCGGTGAGATCATCGCGGGAGAGCTCGTCGGTGAGGTGAGAGCTTGACGTTAAGGTCGTCACTGAAGAACTCGGATGTGAGATCGTCGCGGGAGTGCTCGTCGATGAGGTGACGTGACGTGCTGAGCTCTTGGAGAGCTTGATGTTGAGGTCGTCACTGGAGAACTCGGATGTGAGATCATCGCGGGAGTGATCGTCGATGAGATCGTCGCGGGAGAGCTCGTCGGTGAGATCGTCGCGGGAGAGCTCGTCGGTGAGGTGACATGCCTAACTGATAACGTTAGGCGACGTGCCTAGCTGATGACGTTAGGCGAAGGGCCTAGTTGATGACGTTCGGCGAAGGGCCTAGCTGATAACATTCGGCGAAGTGCCTAGCTGATGACATTCGGCGAAGTGCCTAGCTGATGACGTTCGGCAAATTGCCTAGCTGATGACGTTCGGCGAAGTGCCTAGCTGATGACGTTCGGCAAAGTGCCTAGCTGATGACGTTCGGCGACATGCGTAACTGATGACGCTTGGCAAAGTGCCTAGCTGATGACGTTCGGTGACATGCCTAGCTGATGACGTTTGGGGAAGTGCCTAGCTCGTGAAGTTTGGCGACATGTCTAGCTGATGTTAGGCGACATGCCTAGCTGATGTTAGGCGACATGCCTAGCTGATGACGTTCGGCGAAGTGCCTAGCTCGTGACGTTAGGCGACATGTCTAGCTCGTGACGTTAGGCGACATGCCTAGCTGATGTTAGGCGACGTGCCTAGCTGATGACGTTCGGCGAAGTGCCTAGCTCGTGACGTTAGGCGACATGCCTAGCTGATGTTAGGCGATGTGCCTAGCTGATGACGTTCAGCGAAGTGCCTAGCTCGTGACGTTAGGCAACATGCCTAGCTGATGTTAGGCGACGTGCCTAGTTGATGACGTTCGGCAACATGTCTGACGTTAGGCGAAGTGCCTAGCTGACGTTAGGCGACGTGCCTAGCTGATGTTAGGCGACGTACTGACGTTAGGCGACGTACTGACGTTAGGCGACGTACTTAACTCGTCTCTCTGTCCTTTTTCTGGATCCCATTCTCAATGGTGTGCACCTCCTATTTATAGGCATGATATGACACTAATGGATCGTGGGCTTTGCCATTTGCTAAGTGGGCTAATATTGATTCATGGTGGGCTAATAGTGGGGTGCTAAACCCACCACCAACAGTAAGCCCCCCCCAGTTCGTCGAAGATGTGTGCGAGTTCGGCGAACTATAAGAAAGAGTTGTTAGTTCGGCATGAATCAAGATTAGCTAGAGATAGAAACAAGAGAAGGCTCGGCTTTAAAAGATGACTCAATGCGAGGTCGGCGCTCGGCTTACAGTTCTCTCTGACACTTAGATTTTTAATCTGAGTGTCGAAGAGCGGATGATCAGTCCGTGATGTTCATGGGGAACGTTATTTGCGAGGTCGGCGCTCGGCTTAACAGTTCTCTCTGGCATTTAGGTTTTTAATCCGAGTGCCAAAGAGCGGACGATCGGTCCGTGATGTTCATGGGGAACGTTATTTGCGAGGTCGGCCCCTCGGCATAACAATTCTCTCTGGCATTTAGGTTTTTAATCTGAGTGCCAAAGAGGGGACGATCGGTCCGTGATGTTCATGGGGAACGTTGTTTGCGAGACGCGATGCTCGGCTTAACAGTTCTCTCTGGCACTTAGGTTTTTAATCAAAGTGTCAAAGAGCGGACGATCGGTCCGTGATGCCCATGGGGAACGTTATTTGCGAGACGCGATGCTCGGCTTTAACCTCGTCAGAAAGAGGAGGCGTGATGTAGCTCGGTATAGAAAGAGGAGCTGTCACATTTCAGCAGAGAGATCAGCTCGGCAGAGAGATTAGCTCGGCAAGGAGATGAGCTCGGAAGAGAGATTAATACGGCAAGAGAGATGAGCTCGGCAAGGAGGTGAGATCGGCAGGGAGATGAGCACGGCATGGAGATGAGCTCGGTAGGGAGATGAGCTCGGCAGGAAGATGAGCTTGGTGGAGGGATGAGCTTGGCGGAGGGATGAGCTCGGCAGGGAGAGGAGCTGTGATATAGCTCGGCGAGGAACAGAACCGTCACAGTTCGGCAGAGTGAAGAGTTAAGATGTAGCTTGGTAGAGAAAGGAGCCATCACAGTTCGGCGGAGATATGAGCTCGGCAAGGAGACGAGCTCAGTAAGGAAATGAGCTCGGCGGAGAGATCAGCTCGGTAAAGAGAGAAGCTAAGATGTAGTTCGGCGGGGAGTGGAGCCGTATGAATCGCCCCATCTATCCTCCTGAGGAGAAGTTTGGTTTCAAACCCCGGTTCGAACAGGAGGAGTACACCATGCCATAGCTCGGCGGAGAGGAGTTGTGACGTAATTCGTTAGGGAGATGAGCCTGGCAGAGGGATGAGCTCGTTCCAGTTTTTTTTTTTTTTTTTTTTTTTTTTTTTTTTGCGAGCTCCTACGATCTCGTACTAAAATCTTGAAGATGTGGTTTATCAAGCTCGGGCCTGGGTGGGTTTTGGCTTGATCTTTAATTGCAATTGCTTCCATGTCATCATCAAGTTTAGAGCTTCGTTTGTATAGAGATCGTCACTGCCCCATAGTGGGCGCCAATTGTGAGAACGTAAGTATCAACTAAGTAATCAAACAAAGACCAAAGTCATTGTGAGATGTGGAGCTCCGAGATTCTCGTTACAGATGAAGTCATATCTAGGCAATGACATGGTGAATTGGATTGTTGATGAGGAAAGATGGTCGGCGAAAGGAAAAGTGTTAGAACGTTTTCTATTTATAGCTGCACCCTGTTTAAGGTTGCCTACGTACCCTCCGAAGAGGGATCAAACCATTCGTAGTTCGTCATGAGAGAGTGCTATGGGAGAGTTCGGTTGTCACGAGAGAGCTCGTCGGTGAGGTGACGTGCCTAGCTGAGCTCTTAGAGAATTCGGATATGAGATCGTCGCAGGAGGGCTCGTCGGTGAGATCGTCGCGGGAGAGCTCGTCGGGGAGGTGACGTGCCTAGCTGAGCTCTTAGAGAATTCGGATATGAGATCGTCGCAGGAGGGCTCGTCGGTGAGATCGTCGCGGGAGAGCTCGTCGGTGAGATCGTCGCGGGAGAGCTCGTCGGTGAGGTGAGAGCTTGACGTTAAGGTCGTCACTGGAGAACTCGGATATGAGATCATCGCGGAAGCGCTCGTCGATGAGATCGTCGCGGGAGAACTCGTCGGTGAGATCGTCGCGGGAGAGCTCGTCGGTGAGGTGACGTGCCTAACTGAGTTCTTAGAGAGCTTGATGTTGAAGTCATCACTGGATAACTCGGATGTGAGATCGTCGCGGGAGAGCTCGTCGGTGAGATCGTCGCGGGAGAGCTCGTCGGTGAGGTGACGTGACGTGCTGAGCTCTTGGAGAGCTTGACGTTGAGGTCGTCACTGGAGAACTCGGATGTAAGATCGTCGCGGGAGGGCTCGTCGGTGAGATCGTCGCGGGAGAGCTTGTCAGTGAGATCATCGCGGGAGAGCTCGTCGGTGAGGTGAGAGCTTGACGTTAAGGTCGTCAGTGAAGAACTCGGATTTGAGATCGTCGCGGGAGTGCTCGTCGATGAGGTGACATGACGTGCTGAACTCTTGGAGAGCTTGATGTTGAGGTCGTCACTGGAGAACTCGGATGTGAGATCGTCGCGGGAGTGCTCGTCGATGAGATCGTCGCGGGAGAGCTCGTCGGTGAGATCGTCGTGGGAGAGCTCGTCGGTGAGGTGACATGCCTAACTGATAACGTTAGGCGACGTGCCTAGTTGATGACGTTAGGCGAAGGGCCTAGTTGATAACATTCGGCGAAGTGCCTAGCTGATGACGTTCGGCGAAGTGCCTAGCTGTTGACGTTCGGCAAAGTGCCTAGCTGATGACGTTCAGCGAAGTGCCTAGCTGATGACGTTCGGCGACATGCCTAACTGATGACGCTTGGCAAAGTGCCTAGCTGATGACGTTCGGCGACATGCCTAGCTGATGACGTTCGGGGAAGTGCCTAGCTCGTGAAGTTTGGCGACATGCCTAGCTGATGTTAGGCGACATGCCTAGCTGATGACGTTCGGCGAAGTGCCTAGCTCGTGACGTTAGGCGACATGCCTAGCTCGTGACGTTAGGCGACATGCCTAGCTGATGTTAGGCGACGTGCCTAGCGGATGACGTTCGGCGAAGTGCCTAACTCGTGACGTTAGGCGACATGCCTAGCTGATGTTAGGCGACGTGCCTAGCTGATGACGTTCGGTGAAGTGCCTAGCTCGTGACGTTAGGTGACATGCCTAGCTGATGTTAGGCGACGTGCCTAGTTGATGACGTTCGGCAGCATGTCTGACGTTAGGCGACGTGCCTAGCTGATATTAGGCGACGTATTGACGTTAGGCGACGTACTTAACTCGTCTTTCTGTCCTTTTTCTGGATCCTATTTTCAATGGTGTGCACCTCCTATTTATAGGCATGATATGACACTAATGGATCGTGGGCTTTGCCATTTCTTAAGTGGGCTAATATTGATTCGTGGTGGGCTAATAGTGGGGTGCTAAACCCACCACCAACAGTTTGGATTGATACAGACTCAATAGTTGCTCTTTCCTTTATATACTCAAACTGGCCGCAACACTACAAGAAAGTAAATTGGATAAATCTAGATAAAAAGAAGAAGAAGAAAACCTGGGCGAAAGAGACGAACAAAGAAAGGTAAGCGGAAGTTCGACGGTAGCGCGTTATTTAATGATCATCGACGTCATTGTGATGTTGGTGCTCCACACGTGTGGTATTAGTATATGTGTCCTCATGCCTATCCTTTCTTCAGATTCGTTGCATACCAGTTCTAAACTTCTAATAATTTTTCTTAGAATTCTTATTTTAAATTAAGATCAGTTGATATTCTAATTATTACGTACTTACTTTCTTCTCTTTCTTCACAATTATTATATTACGATTTACGAACACCATAACAACGTATATCAAATCATCAAATTAGACAGAGATGATTGATCATGTACGTAAAAGCATACAAGATCGCCATTATTTATGAGCATAGAGTATAAAAAGGAAACGGAGGCGGATGATAAGGCACGTACGAGACAAACACAAAAGACACACATGCATAGAGATATACGACGAAAGAGAGTTTTTTCTAAGCACCGCTCTTGAGGACGTGGTCGTCCATGTCAGCAACTAAGATCTTGAGAAACTTCATGTAGTGGATGGGTTCTGGGGTGTCTTCTTTTTTCTTATCCCATATGATAGTAATTTTGCAGACGCATCCTTCTTTGGACTTGGGGATGAACTGGAAGCTGATGTCATAAAGCTTGAACTGGTCCATCACGGTACCCTCCACCCCTCTCAGCGTCACTACCATGTTCGCGTCGTCAAGCTCTCTCTTCTCCTTGTACGACTCTTGCTTCCCATCTTCATACACAAATACACACACACACACACACACACACACAACCATATAGCTCGCATTATTACATGCATGTTGTTCATAGCTACGTTTCTAGAGAAAGTGAGAGAGTAAACTAAAGACTAAAGAGAGACCGCATGTGTAATTCCAGGATCTGATGGAGCCGTGAGATTCCCAATCGCCATGGTGCATGTTGACATCTTGGACGTGGTGGCCGATGGCGTCGGGGAAGAGGTGGTTTTCGCTCTTCCACCTCTTGTAGTGTTTCTCCGCCGAACCCTTCAGGGGCACCTCCGCCACGTATGTTCCTGACATCGCCATTCCTCGCTTGATTGCTTTCTTTCGAAATGTGCTAAGTGTTGTTTTTGATGCAAATACTCAAGTGACGCCCTTCCTTTATATACACAAACTCGCCACAACACGTCTTACAAGAAAATAAAATGGCTATTTAGAGATTTTTGTTTTCTTTTCAAAAGTCAAATATATGAAGCATCATATATGTCGTTAAAAAAAAAAATGAAGCATCATATATATAATCATATAATTTAAATATATAATTTCTTTTATTAAAGTTAAAGATCTCTGTGTTCAACATCTACTAGGTTTGAATCAAGGTTTAGACTTGGTTAGAATATCCTACAATATACGTACATAGATAACAAAACAATAATTGGAAAATTGCCGATAGAAAAGAAGAACAAGAAAACCGGGGAGACATACACGGGCAAGACGGGTTTGCGTAATCTAATGATCATCGACGTCATAGTTATATATTGGTGCTTCACACGTATGGGTCTTTGTGTCATCATGTCCATATATTCCTCACTTGTAGATTCTTTGCAACCGATACTTTCCGTTCTGATCACTAATTTTTAGTACTTTTGTTACAAAGAGGAACATATACAATTTGAAAACTGTAGTTCATTAGATATGAACATGTTCATTTAAATTAATTTTCATTCTTTTTTTTGTTAAAGTAAATTAATTTTGATTCATGACAAGTTTTATATAAACGATGCATATTAAAATGAAAAAACCCTTCTTATGAAAGTTGGAGTCTAACTTTGATGTCCCACCCATTAAAAATAAATGAAAATTTATCAATCAATGACACAAGTATTGATCCAGTCGAGGATCATCTCCATGCACATTTTTCTTTTCCTCTCGTTGACTTCACTTATCGAATAACGTTAGTTATATACTGAAAATGTGAGTATCTGTATGGCCTCATGTGGAAGTGATGGTATATTCAGACTATGTGAGGACAAAGGGGAGAAAAGAGAAACTGCACCCTCACATAAAACGAAGAGATGCCAGTTTTTTTTGTGTGGTCTTAATGTTAGAAGAGAGATGTCAGTTGCTTTGAAAGTACCATCTTTGTCCCAAGAGATCTGGATGTTTACTTTTAAATACCTGATTTTGTTTTAGATCAATGGCCTATTTGGATTTTGGCTGATCAATATGTTACCTCGTGAAAGATTTGCTTAAGCTGATTAACAAGAATCCAAATAATCCAGTCTAAACCAATATAATAAACGCGTTTTGTGACATGAAGCTTATTATAGAGCTAGACATTAAGGAAAACTCAATATAGCTAGGAAGCAATAAATTGAGACTGTTAAATCTTTTGTTTTTCCTATTTTGATGAAATTAATTATGTGAAAGATAATGAGATTTTATGCACTTTTTTCATATGATTGTATAACAGACACAATTATTATTATATTTCTTTATTTTTGAAGAAGGGCTTCACAATTATTATATTACGAACACCATAACAACGTACATCAAATCATCAAAGACAGAGATGATTGATGTACGTAAAAGCATACAAGACCGCCATTATTTATGAGCATAAAATATACAAAGGAAACGGAGGCGGATGATAAGGCACGTACGAGACAAACACAAAAGACACACATGCATATAGACATATACGACGAAAGAGGGTTTTTAAGCACTGCTCTTGAGGACGTGGTCGTCCATGTCAGCAACTAAGCTCTTGAGAAACTTCATGTAGTTGATGGGTTCGGGGGTGTCTTCGTTTTTCTTCTCCCATATGAGAGTGATTTTGCAGACGCATCCTTCTCTGGACTTGGGGATGAACTGGTAGATGATGTCAAAAAGCTTGAACTGGTCCATCACGTGACCCTCCAGCCCTCTCTTCGTCACTACCATGTTCGCGTCGTGAAGCTCTCTCTTCTCCTTGAACGACTCTTGCTTCCCATCTTCATACACAAACACACACACACAAACATATAGCTCGCATAATTACATGCATGATCATATCTACGTTTCTAGAGAAAGTGAGAGAGTAAAACTAAAGACTAAAGAGAGACCGCATGTGTAGTTCCAGGATCTGATGGAGCCGTGAGAGTCCGAATCGCCATGGTGCATGTTGACACCTTGGATGTGGTGGCCGATGGCGTCCGGGAAGAGGTGGGTTTCGCTCTTATACCTCTTGTAGTGTTTCTCCGCCGAACCCTTCAGGGGAACCTCCGCCACGTATGTTCCTGACATCGCCATTTCTCGGTTGATTTCTTCTTTCGAAATGTGGCAAGTGTTGTTTTTGATGCATAAACTCAAGTGACGCCCTTCCTTTATATACACAAACTCATCACCACAACACTACAAGAAAATATAATGGCTATTTAAAGATTTTTGTTTTCTTTTCAAAAGTCAAGTATATGAAGCATCATATATATAGTAATATCTTTTAGATATATACTTTCTTTTAATTAAAGTTGAAGATCTCTGTGTTCAACATCTGCTAGGTTTGAATCAAGGTTTAGAGTTGGTTAGGATATCAATATATACATAGATAACCAAATAATAATTGGAAAATTGCCGATAGAAAAGAAGAAAAGAAAACCGGGGAGACATACACGGGCAAGAGGGTTTGCGTAATTTAATGATCATCGACGTCATAGTTATATATTGGTGCTTCACAGTGTTCACACGTATGGTTCTATCATCTATGTGTCATCATGTCCATCTATTCCTCACTTGTAGAATCTTTGCAACCGATCCTTTCCGTTCTGAACTTCTGATCATATTAATTTTTAGTAATTTTGTTAAAAAGAGACATTAGATATGAGCATGTTCATTTTAAATTAATTTTAATGCATGACGAGTCTTATATAAATATATATAAAACGATGCATATTAAAAAGAAAAAGCCTTCTTATGAAAGTTGGAGGGAATTATATGGGCTTTTTTTTTTTTTGCCGACGATAAATTTGTATTAAAAGCCCAAAAGGGCAAACAGAGGTACAACAAATTAGGCACGGCCCAATAATATGGGCTTTAACTTTGATGTCCCACCCATTGAAAAGAAATGAAAAATTATCAATCAATGACACAAATATTAATTGATCCAGTCGTAGTAAGACTGTACATTAATTAGAAACTCAACGAATGAAAAATTCTCCATGCACCTTTTTTTTCTTCTTCCGTTGACTTCACTTATCGAATAACGTTAGTTATATACTGAAAATGTGAGTATGGCCTCATGTGGAAGTGATGGTATATTCAGAATATGTGAGGACAAAGGGGATAAAAGAGAAACTGCAGCCTCACATAAACGAAGAGATGTCATTTTTTTTGGGGGTCTTAATATTAGAGAGATGTAAGTTGCTTTCAAAGATCTGTCCCAAGAGATCTGCATGTTTACTTTTTAAAATACCTGATTTTGTTTTAGGCCAATAAACTATTTGGATTTTGGCTAATCAATATATTACCTCATGAAAGATTTGGTTAAGTTGATTAACAAGAATCCAAATAATCCAGTAATAATCTAAACCAATATAATAAACGTGTTTTGTGACATGAAGCTTTTAGAGCTAGAGATTAAGGAAAACTCAATATAGGAAGCAATAAATTGAGACTGTTTTTTTTTTTTTTTTTTTTGTTGGCAATCAATTGAGACTGTTAAATCTTTTGTTTTTCCTATTTTGATGAAATTAATTATGTGAATGATAATGAGATTATGCATCCTATATATTATGCACTTTTTCATGTGATTGTATAGGAGACACAACTATTATTATAATATTTTTTTTGCTGAGCTTCACAATTATTATATTACGAACACCATAACAACGTCAACGTACATCAAATCATCAAAGACAGAGATGATTGATGTACGTAAAAGCATACAAGACCGCCATTATTTATGAGCATACATTATACAAAGGAAAAGGAGGCGGATGATCAGGCACGTACGAGACAAACATAAAAGACACACATGCATATAGATATATATACGACGAAAGATGGTTTTTAAGCACTGCTCTTGAGGACGTGGTCGTCCATGTCAGCAGCTAAGCTCTTGATAAACTTCATGTAGTTGATGGGTTCGGGGGTGTCTTCGTTTTTCTTCTCCCATATGAGAGTGATTTTGCAGACGCATCCTTCACTGGACTTGGGGATGAACTGGTAGATGATGTCAAAAACCTTGAACTGGTCCATCGCGTGACCCTCCACCCCTCTCTTCGTCACTACCATGTTCGCGTCGTCAAGCTCTCTCTTCTCCTTGAACGACTCTTGCTTCCCATCTTCATACACAAACACACACACACACATAACCATATAGCTCGCATAATTACATGCATGATCATATCTACGTTTCTAGAGAAAGTGAGAGAGTAAATTTAAACGAAAGAGAGACCGATTGTGTAGTTCCAGGATCTGATGGAGCCGTGAGAGTCCCAATCGCCATGGTGCAAGTTGACATCTTGGATGTGGTGGCCGATGGCTTCGGGGAAGATGTGGTTTTCGCTCTTATACCTCTGGTAGTGTTTCTCCGCCGAACCCTTCAGGGGCACCTCCGTCACGTATGTTCCTGACGTCGCCATTTCTCGGTTGATTGCTTTCTTGCGAAATATGCCTAGTGGTGTGTTTGATGCAGAAACTCAAGTGACACCCTTGCTTTATATGCACATGGCTTACCACAACACTACAATAAATGAAAATGGCTATTTTAGAGAATTTTATTTCTTTTCGAAATTCATATATATGAAGCATCATATAAAATAGTACTATTTTTAAATACAAATTTTCGTTCTTTTTAGTTAAAGTTAAAGATCTCAGTGTTCAACATCTACTAGATCTTGAATCTGAATGCTTAGTTGAATCCGGAGAAACATTTTTGCATCCATATATATAGTTGACTAATACTAAAACTTTGTTATTAAGTTGTATACAATTTGATAAGGAATAAATATGATAGAGCCTCGAAACTCAACTCAGTTCTGTGCAAACGTATAGGAATTAATACACTCAATAAACATATCTTTAGGTGATTGACCTAATGATGTTTTGTTTATTTTGTAAATAACGAATTTAATTTTGTAAATATGCTCGAATCAAGGTTTAGACTTGGTTAGAATGCCACTATACATAGATAACATAACAATAACTGGATAATTGCCGATAGAAAAGAAGAACAAGAAAATCGGAGAGATGCACACGGGCAAGACGGTTTGCGTAGTTCAATGATCATCGACGTCATAGTTATATTTTGGTGCTTCACACGTACGGGTCTTTGTGTAATCATGTCCATCTATTCCTCACTTGTAGATTCTTTGCATCCGATCCTTTCCGTTAATTCTGATAATTTATTTATAGTACTTTTGTTAAAAAGAGGAACATATACAATTTGAAAACTGTAGTTCATTTGATATGAACATGTTCCTTTAAATTAACTTTGATTCATGACGAGTATTGTATTTAGATAAACGATGCATATCTTATATATGATAGGAACATTGTGGGGGCATTTACATTTAGTGACAGCAATGATTCACCTTTGATTTGTTTTCATCCACACAAAAAAAGTATTTTTAACATGAATATATATATTCTCATTATTCAACATATTCAGTGGCCCCTATAATTTTTTCCTCCACATGAATTTTATGGATGTACACAAACACAACAATCATCAACACAACCATATTTTCAAGAATATGGACCAGCTTATCAGCTATGATATGAATCGATCAATCAAAAACAGCTGTTAAACAAAAAAAGGACAACAAAACAGCTGTAAACAGCTGGTATGATCACTGCATTTAACATGTGGATCTCTCACCTTAACAGGTTTCCAGTAAGATCAAGACTCCTCTCTTGGGGAATTATCGCTGTGGCAGATTGTTGTATCTGTTCAAGGGCCGTAGAAACAAGAGACCACCTCTTTTTTCTATGTGATCTGGGAAAATACTTGCGGCTGAAAGTTCTAGCCAGGTTAAACCCAAACCTTTCTCTGTTTACAGGTCTGGACTGCGAAATCAAAAACACTATCACTTCCCAACGACATAAGCCTCGTTACAGTGGCTTAATGTCCATTTGGCTGCGATAATGAGCACCCATTTTCCCTATTTTAGTTTTGTTTCCTTGTTTTTTATGTCTTTTTTGCCAAGGTTCTCAATTGTCTAAGGCTCTGCAAGCTCTGTTTGTAAAACCTTTCTCTTCATTTTAATGAAATTTACATTCTTAGCAAAAAAAAAAAGGACAACAAAATATAAATAAACCTTAAATAACTTTAAATAAACAGGTAAGAAATAACAAAATAACGATCTCTTTCTCTTGTTGTCCAAAAAAAAAAAGGGATCTCTTTCTCTTGAAATACGTTTTAGGATTTTTTACACATTTCCAAAAACTAGTTGTGTACCAATTACAAAATATAAACTATCTCTATAAAAGAATAATTACATTCTTTTTTAGCCTTATTGGTATGAACACATTCGAAAATACAGTTTCAGATTTACGTTGAAATTTGAATACATCTACGTTTCGTGAAACCCCCACCCACACAAAACAAATCTAAAACTTTTAGTTTAATGAAGCGGAAGGAGTTATTTCCACTAGTATACAAAAAAAAAACCTAGTGAAAGTTGGAGGAGTATATGAGCTTTAACTTTGATGTCCCAATACTGGACCACTAAAAATAAATAACAACTCATCAGTGTCATCAATAACACACATATTGGTTATCCCCAACTTTTTTTACAAGTTCTATCAGATTGAACAAATACCCCTCAAAGTCCATGGATCAATGTTTTCATATATTTCACAAGATCCAACGGTCTTCCATTTAGGTATGAACATATTGAAATAGCAAGAGAGAAATAGCCCCCATTTATTTTGCAGAAACGTATGGGGAATCCCATTGACTCAAACAATAATGAAACGTATACCTTGCATATATATCCACTGATTCCATATTTCCATCCATTGGTGAAAGTCTGTAGACCCGATTATTTGGTTCGCAAGCAAAGCAAAGTCAAACCCTCGTGATAATTCCAGTCTTACTAAGAGGATCATTGGAAAGTCAATGAATAGAAATTTCTCCATGCACTTTTTTTCTTCCTCTCGTTGACTTCACTTATCGAATAATTATTATTATATACTGAAAATGTGAATATGGCCTAATGTGGAAGTGATGGTATATTCAGACTATGTGAGGACAAAGGCGGAGAAAAGAGAAACTGCACCCTCACATGGAACAACGAAGAGATCTCTTCGTTGTTCATATAAGTTTCATGTCACAAAACACGTCTATTATTTTGGTTTAGAAACTAGATTATTTGGATTCTTGTTAATCAACATAACCAAATTTTTCACGAGAAAAAAAAAAAAAACAAAAAAACTTTCACGAGGTAACATATTGATTGGCCAAAATCTAAATAGTCCATTAGTCTAAAACAAAATCAGGCATATACAAAGTAAACATGCAGATCTTTTGGGACAACGAAGGGGGAGAAAAGAGAAATTGCACCCTCACATGGAACAACGAAGAGATGTCCGTTGCTTTCAAAGATCCATTTGTCCCAAAAGATCTGCATGTTTACTTTTTATATGCCTGATTTTGTTTTAGACTAATGGACTATTTGGATTTTGGCCAATCAATATGTTACCTCGTGAAAGTTTTTTTTTTTTTTTTTCTCGTGAAAGATTTGGTTATGTTGATTAACAAGAATCCAAATAATCTAGTTTCTAAACCAAAATAATAGACGTGTTTTGTGACATGAAGCTTATAGAGCTAGACATTAAGGAAAACTCAATATAGGAAGCAATAAATTGAGACTGTGAAAATCTTTTGTTTTTCCTATTTTGATGAAATTAAAAATGTGAAAGATAATGAGATTATATATGCATCTATATACTATGCACTTTTGAAAAAGGACTTCAAAATTATTATATTACGAACACCATAACAACGTACATCAAATCATCAAAGACAGAAATGATCGATGTACGTACGAGCATACAAGACCGCCATTATTTATGAGCATACATTATACAAAGGAAGAGGAGGCGGATGATAAGGCACATACGAGACAAACACAAAAGACACACATGTATATAAGAGGGGTTTTAAGCACAGCTTTTGAGGACGTGGCCGTCCATGTCAGCAGCTAAGCTCTTGACAAACTTCATGTAGTTGATGGGTTCGGGGGAGTCTTCGTTTTTCTTCTCCCATATGATAGTGACTTTGCAGACGCATCCTTCTCTGGACTTGGGGATGAACTGGAAGATGACGTCATACAGCTTAAGCTGGTCCATCACGTGACCCCCCGCCCCTCTCAGCGTCACCGCCATGTTCGCGTCGTCAAGCTCTCTCTTCTCCTTGAACAACTCTTGCTTCCCATCTTCATACACAACCATTACTCGCATAATTAATAACACGCATGATCATATCTACGTTTCTATGTAGAGAAAGTATAAATAAAGACTAAAAAGATACCGCATGTGTAGTTCCATGATCTGACGGAGCCGTGAGAGTCCCAATCGCCATGGTGCAAGTTGACACCTTGGATGTGGTGGCCGACGGCGTCCGGGAAGAGGTGGTTTTCGCTCTTCCACCTCTTGTAGTGTTTCTCCGCCGAACCCTTCAGGGGCACCTCCGCCACGTATGTTCCTGACATCGCCATTTCTCGGTTGATTGCTTTCTTTGGAAATGTGTCAAGTGTTGTGTTTGATACAAATACTCAAGTGACGCCCTTCCTTTATATACACAAACTCACCACAACACTACAAGAAAAGAAATTGGCTACTTGGAGTTTTTTTTGTTTTCTTTTCAAAATTCAAATATATGAAGCATCATTATAATAGTGTCTTTCTAAATATATGGTTTCGTTTTTTTTAAAATTAAGTTAAAGATCTCATTGTTCAACATCTACTAGATCTTGAATTTTAATGCTTAGTTGAATTCGGAGAAACATGTTTGCATCCATATATTGTTCACTTATACTAAAACTTGGTTGGTTTTAAGTTGTATACAATTTGATAAGAAATAAATATGATAGAGCCTCGAAACGCAACTCAGTTCTGTTTAAATGTAACAATAGGCTCGAATTAAGCAAGATCCTAGTTTCAACACCCAATAAACAACATCTTTAAGTGATTGACCTAATGTTTTGTTTAATTTGTAAATAATGAATTTAATATTGTAAATGCTTGAATCAAGGTTTAGACTTGGTTAGAATATCACTGTACATAGATAACAAAACAATAATTGGAAATTTGCCGATAGAAAAGAAGAACAAGAAAACCGGGGAGACATACACGGGCAAGACGGGTTTCCGTAGTTTAATGATCATCGACGTCATAGTTATATATTGGTGCTTCACACGTACGGTTTTATGTGTCATCATGTCCATTTATTCCTCACTTGTAGATTCTTTGCATTTGATCCCTTTCCCTTCTGAGATTTTTAGTACAATTTGAAACTGTAATACATTAGCTACGAACATGTTCATTTAAAACTAATTTTGATGCATGACGAGTATATAAACGATGCATATATTAAAAAAAAAAACTTATGAAAGTTGGAGGGAACATTTGGGTCTTAACTTTGATGTCCATTGGGAGGCCCAAATATTGATCATCCAAACTTTATTGACAAATTTGATCATATTAAACCAATACCCCTGAAAATCCATGGATTTATGTTTTCATATGTTTCACAAGATCCACTCAAAAATAATATGAGGCATCTAACTGATTTTTCAACGAGGAAATGACTGGAGTGGACCTAAAAGTCACATGATCCCTTTCAGTTTCCCACGGTCAAACTTTATTAGTTATCATCATCTTATCGAAAGGACTTTTGCATTTGAAAACTTTGTTAATGTCCAGTATTTTTTATTTTGTTTTAACGCAACTCTTTCCCGGATACTAGACTATGTTACATCAATTCCTTCCCGGAGCCGGTTTTAGAGTACTGTCCAAGAAGTTTCTCTCTAACTTAACTTTAAATTAATAAACAAGATTGCTAAGCTACAACTCTTCCTTTAAAATCGACACATGTAATATAGATGACCAATATTATATATAAATAAACAACGGATCAAAGAGTGTAGTTATCAGTAACTAATACCATTTTCATGTCTTATATTAATTTACACTGACGACTGCAAAATATAGTCATCCCACCATTGAGTTCTTAAAAGGAAAAAAGAACTCCAATAACAAAATGAAAAAAAAAAGTTCTAACTAAATTACTTTTATCCTACTAGGAGCAATCCAAATTAAGTAGACAAAGCTCGTGATTGTAATCTGTTACGTCTATTGAACTGCTGGATGAATTCTTCGAATCTACTATTCAACTCTTCGTTCGACATCTTTGAAAATTCTTCAGATTCTTCTTCGACATTCTCCCATTTCTGCGGAACAACCCTCCATTTCGAGCTATCCGATTCGCTTCGACGATAGCTTTTACGTTTGGACTTTGCCTCTTCGGTAATCTTCATCCGCCGCGGTTTATCTGATTTGGTTCGTCCGTAAGATTTAGGGTTTACATGGTTCCTTATGTTGCAAGCTTCTTCGACGGTAACAATTTCATCAGTAACCGGTTTGGATTTCTCGATAGCTACTTGGTCTCTAGGTTGCTCTTCACTCACCACGTGTACTATCTTCTCTAGAGCCGACGAAATGCACGCGATATCTTTTACCATCGAGTCTTCTTCTCTAGTGTTCTTGATTTCAGCATCTTTCGGGTTCTTGATTTCCTCACCTCTAGGGTTTTCTTGGTATGTGAAGACGGGAATCGGAGAGTAGTTATCTCCACGGCTTCTCATCGCCACAGCCGACGCCGCGGCGTATTCACCATAAAAGTCGTGACTCTCTTTATTAGTGAAGGCCCCATAATCGACGGCGATTATGAGGATGAGAGCGTTGGAGATGAAAAATAAAACCTTTGTGTCTTTGAAGATCGACGATGGAGATACTTCGAAGACGTAAAAGATAAGAATGTAAGTGACGATTGATAAGAAGATAGAGAGCACCGAAGAAGAGTAATAACATCGTTTCTTTGGCTTGTAAGGCTCGAACTTAGGGTTCTCGATCATGTACGAGGGAATTTCTGTCATTTTCTACGTGTCAAAGGAGGAATTGAGAGATATTGAGAGCTAGTTGGTGATGAAGAAATGTTGTGTGGTTGTTTTGATCTTTTGAGGTGTTGCATATCCTTTATATAGTGGTTCGTGGATATGAATGATTGAGTTAATGAATGTTCGACATTGCCCTTGGGATATACATTATTTTATTGATGGATACTTGACACGATTCAGTTTTGTCGCGTCATGGTAATTTACGTGGAAACTAAAGGGCACTCGCATTTGAAACATCTTGGTAGGTGCCCGGCAATTCATATTTAGTAATTAATATAGAAAGCAATATCTTGTCTACCTGAGAAATTACATTGTATAAAAACATTATGCTAAGATAGATACAAAACAAAATTAATTCGGGAAACATATTTGGTCAAGGTCCCAATTGCGGATTCGTGAGCATTGGTACAGCAGATATCGTAACGTCATCATTAGACAGCAACTCAATCAAATATAGTATTATTATACTATCGTTTGTTCTCTATCCCTTTATTTTTGTTGCATTTAATAAATTCACACCTATGCATGTTTTTTAGTAATAGTTGTTTCCTTTACTAACTGTAATGTATTTACTATTTAGCTTTTTAATTTTATTTTACAGAGGTAAAGTATTTACATTATATTATTCTAATGATATCGTAGAATAATATAATGTAAAGAACAGATCTATAGCATTTTATTTGAATTTAGTTGAGTATAATAACTCACTAACCATCGTTTCAATATTAGAGTAATAAAAAAATGAGTGAAATCAACAATTTCTTTGTATTCC